CGATTTTCGCAAGTAGGTACGTAATAAAACGAGCACCGATTGAATATCGATCGCAACCTAGTGGGATAAAAGGTTCTTGACTAAAATAATGCTATTATTAATGAACTTAATTGTCTAAGCACTCTAACGACAACATTTGAAATATTACATTACTGGTTGACGTGATATTTTTAAAAAATATCTTTCAAAAAAGCTCACCTTTTAAATCTACGAGTCCAAAGCATTATTAAAAAAAATAAGTCGAATAGAGACAGATGTGTAGATATAAAATAACAAGAAAATTAGCGTCATATACCTACCCTGCGCTACCTACTTTTAGTTAAAATATCTAACAACTAATTATGAAATATTTGTAGTGTCTACAACACTAATTTAAAAAAATAACAACAAATTATGTTATGAAATGTATTTCGAACCATATAGGACTAAACGCTTTGACCATTCTCCTTCTCAATCTTTATTAAAATTTACGAAGCAATATTCTCGCCTTCCCCAACATTAATCCTCACTAATGGAAATTTTATGTCGCTGTCATCCGTTTTTACAAAAAACAATTTTCAATCTAAGAATTAATGTCTATATATGTATATAAAATAAAATATTAAATTTACAATCATCATTGTACACATTGTACACAAAGTGCAAATATATATATATATATATAAAGTACTAGCATTGCCCGCGGCTCCGCCCGCGTTCAGATGACCAAAAACTAAATTCTTAGGTTTTACATATAGGTATACTCTTACAATGCAGTTTTTGTATTTTTTTCAGAAATGAGATATTTTCCCGCGGTAAAAAGTATCCTATATGTTGACCCGGATAACCAGCTACCACCATACCAAATTTCATCAAAATCGCTCCAGTGGTTTTTCCGTGATACGGTAACAAACAGACAGACAAAAATTCTAAAAACTATAGATTCCGCCTCTGTACCGATAATAATGTCTATTTCAATAAGATTTTCCATGATGGCATTTTCTAAAAGTCTTTTACTTTCAATAGATAATAACTTGTCACAGGAAAAAGTTCTTGTACTTTTTATACAAAAAAAAAACTTTTTTTTATTAAACATAGCCTGGAGCAAAAAAATTACATTAGCTACTTGGCTTTACCTGACTTTATCGGTCTGCCAGTTCTGCCTAATCATACCAAGTTATGGTACTATCATCGGAAATACATATATGTACGTATATACGTACTTAAAATTTTCAAGTCAATTACTATTTTGTTTATACCTTGAGATCTACCGAGAAAACTATAGCGAGTATCTAAGAAATCATTGAATATACATATATACTTACATAAGAAACATACGCAACGAACATAGGAAGTACCATTCTTTATTGAAATTGATGAAAAATAAATTCAATTGCCCCTATTCCATCAACATCTTAATATCTTCTTCATTTTAATGTCTTCTTATAAATAGAAATGAATGGCTAAGTGTTGCTAAGCGCAAAACTCGAGAACGGCTGGACTAATTCGGGAATTCTTTTTTGGTAAATATTTGTTGTCCAAGGAAGGTTTATAAGAAGAGAAAAATTGAAAAAAAAATCACGGAAAAATGAAACCATCACGTTTTTCTTTTTCCTTACTATTGTTACTTTGCAATTATGAACCTCAAAATTTATAGATACCTATATTAAACTACTTGCATGTATTTGTAGATTTGACGCTTTCACTTTCTTCTTACTTTGTTTGTTTATTTGTCCTTCTTCCACATCGAAACAGAGTAACGGATCGGATGTTCGGATGATTTTTTGTGATGTGATAATATCTAATTTCCACGGGAAAGCACGTTATAATACAATGCAAAAAAATATTTATAGTCAGAATTACTTGAAACTTGGTATTAGTGCTCTTTAATAAAATTAAAGAAATACGTGTTTTAGCATTTATCGAAATTCATTCTATAGGGTAAAATAGGGGATAAAAGTTTGTATGAAACTACCTTTTTAGAGATTTTTTTGCAGTTTTAGCGCGAGCTAAGCCGTGGGGTCTACTGGTTATGTACCTAATAGGTAGGTATATTATGTTACAAAAGTAACCCTACCAAAAATATGGAAAGAAGAACACAAAGTTATATAAAAGTCCGAAAGTTTTGTCCGCGAAAATTCTTAAATTAAGGCTGGGTTGTTTGATGTTTCACTAACTTTGGTTATAGTTGATACGTATCTCAATCGATTTTAGCTGTTGCTAACATCAATAACTAAAGGGTGATAATTATTTAAATCAGCACTATGCCACATTAAATAAAAACAAAACAGATTCACAGTTTTCTTATTAGTTTTATATAATGTAGATATTAGATGATTAAATAAAATATTAAATAAACAACATAAAAAATATACTTTTATTAATTTATAATTTAACTTGAACACATTGTAGGTACAACGTATCTACATACTAGGGACCATTTTTTCTATTTAAACTATTTCTATATACTTAAGTTTATATATAACTTATATTTTGTAATTAAGGTACATATAAGTAGATAAGTAAGTGGGTATTTATTGTGTAAAATTGAAACTCATTACTAGGTATCTAGATATATATATAAGATCTGAAATTTATTACCTATTCCTGCAAAAATACTCTACTCGGCGGTGTAGTGGCTAGTGTGTACAGCTGCTCAGTCCTGGGTCCAAGTCGGGTCAAGTTTTAGTTATTAAGTTTTTATTCCGTATTATGTGATCCTTCGCTCGATCATTACGATCTTATGAGAACCTGACGCATTGCATACAATGGAAGAAATCATTCTGGTTAAGTACCTAGGGCTCGTTTCTTATAGTTAATTAAAGCTTCTGAGTCAATGTCTAGTAATGTCAAATGTTGGCTCCAAAAGCTATGAAAGCTCAATTTACAATATTTTAAGATATAAATATCTAATAGGTAAATATTATGTATGTTACGTATCGAAATATATTAGATTTGCTTTGCATCGGCTGGCACCAACTTCGAAAATATCTATTCTAAATGAAAACCTCCGTTTAGTTATTTTTTACATTTTAGTGCCTGGAAGTCGGTTTTTATTTTTTGTTAAAAAGTTTTTTTTTATATTATTGACCGAGCGAGCGAAGCCTTTCTGCTTCAAGCCTGGCAAAATTTGTTTTCCTCTGTCAGTTTGTTGGTACTCCTATACAGGTCGTATTTTACAACCGATCTGGATGAAACTTGATATACTATATATATACATATATGATTTTATAGATACTTTTGTCGTCGGAGATTTTTGATAGAAGTACTTCCTCCAAAAAGCGGCAAAAAGGGGGGCTACTGATATATCCGCCATAAGGAACCGGTTCTGCTTTATTTGAAAAGTAATAACATTGAGTCTCATAAAAATTTGGTGAAGATCTTTAATAAAATAAGAAAAGAAAATTTTGTACTTAAAAGAAAAAATTTAGTTAATGTACTGAAAGTAAATATATAACGCTCCGTTACGCTACGCTCCATGATTTTATTTTTGAGTTTGATCAATGCACTAGATTAATGAGAAGAGTGGCGTGATGATTGGTACTTAGGACCTACCTAATTATTTTTTATTTTTTATCTACATCATTATCTTTTTTTTTTTCAACAAAACCAAAAACTTTTTTTACTTATTTTATTTAACTCAAATTAAAACATCTAAAAAAAGCCTCATCGCAATTTCCTTTCTTTTAAATATCCTAAACGGCTACCATATTAATATGTGCATTGAATAAATTAAAAATGTGTCATATGCCATAATTCTTATCAAAACCAATTGCCAATTAATTTAAAATCGCCTTTTGTAGTATGGCTATTGAATGAAAGGATATAACAGGACAGGTATAAAATAAATAAATATAGCTGCTACTCGATTTATTACATTTGTACATATTTCAAACAGAACGCCAAAACAGATCTAAGTATTTAAAAAAACAACATTTGTACATCACACAGCTATCACATTATAAGCTATTTACATAGAATTTGTCTATGACATGCAGAATTATAACAACATTGAATAACAATAAGTGTAGAGCCATTATTTTATCTATAACTTTTTGTGTTACAACATATACAGATAGTAACAAAGTATTACTTATATATATAATATGTTATCATTATACATTTGCTAGTGATAATTTTATCAATCGCCTCCAACTAAATGACATTATTGCCAACATTTACGAAGAACTAAGCTAATAAAAGTTGAATCCATTATATACACAATTCCTACACAATTCATTTATTTCTAATAGAGTAAGTTGTAATTTTGATTTTTGATAATATTTGATCATCGTTATTATGTGGATCAAACAACCAAATATTTAAGTAGTCATCAGGAATGTAATCACACAATTATAATAAAAATGATAACTAAAAAAATAAAATATTAATTTAACTCAAGATAGTAAAAAAAATAAATGTGCTTAAGAAACTTATGGATCACAATAGAAAAATATTTAATTTTAGTCAAGCATCTAAGTCTATGTTATCATAAAAAGATGACAGCCAAACCTACATAAATTATATGTTTACAAGTAATTGATAAACCAAAAAACTTATAATTATTATCATTATTATTCATACTTTTTAACAAGCAAACTAAAAGTTGATAATTATTTATAAAACTTTAAAAAAATCTTACCACAGCACATATTTAAATCATTTTCTTTTAAATTTCTTTAATCACTTTCAAAAGCATGTTAAGGGGACAAAATGGTGCACTAAACTTATAGGATAATATGGTATTTAATTAAGTTGTAGATCAAAAATAAATTAATTATAACATGATCATAATTTTAATAATATTATTAATCAATAAATAGCCTAATAAACTGTTACACATTTAACCATACACTGCAGTATAAATGTGGACTGTGACATACTTATCAACCTTATGGCAGTACAGGCATTGATGATTTAATAAAACAAGACAATGTGATGGTCATTTAAGTAATCTCTGTAAGTATTGTGCATTACACACCTTTATTATATTATGTTGCAATATTAGTTATAACGAATTAGAACTGCACCCAATTTTGCTGACTTGCAGGAGTAGAGGGTTTTGCAGGTTGGTTTGGAGCACTGAAAAAAAAGTCAATTTTTAAATGATTGCATGACCTCATAGTTTTGAGCATTGTGACTAACAATATAATAAAAATGTTGAGCATATTAATCATTAAAATCTAACCTATTTGTTCTCAAAAAAAAAGTGAAAATAGGTGAAAGGAAAAGGGTCATTATTCATTTAAGTTCTTCCCATGATATCTTTTATTATCAAATGACAAGTATTCAAGCTAAAATTAATTTACCTTGCAGAGTTAAAATCACCCCACTCAGTGTTGGGCACAGCCGGTGTGATAGGGGTTGGCACATGCTGTGGTGATGGGGGAGGAGGCAGTTTGGAGCCTCCTGGAGGTGGGGGCAGCAATCCCCCAACACCGGCGCCACCAGCTCTACGTGGTCTGCTACCTTCACTGCCATCTTTTTTCTATAAATTATAACATTTGTGTATCTGTTTTGTTATTGACTCTTTCTGTATAGTAAGTCTCAGTAACAGCCCGGAGTTGGGAAGTTGGCGGTGTTTCACCCCCGTGCCTCGGAGAGCACGTAAAGCCGTCGGTCCTGCGCCTTAACTCTCACCGGTCGTGTCGAGTGGTCGTCCCACCGGAGTATGAGAGTGATAGGAATAGAGACTGCACTTGTGTCTGCGCGTACACTTGTGCACTATAATATCTCCTGCGCAGTTGGCTAATCTCATTGAGATTGGCCGCCGTGGCCGGAATCGGCTAGGAGAACATCACATCTTACACTTGGGTAATTAACTATACAAATGGAAGTAAGCACTTGCCCCCAAGAGTTACCAGCCACAAAATTATAGTTAAATTGCTACTATAATAGACAAATGTTAAGACTGAGTAATTGAGTAACAGTCAAAATACAACCTACAATTGGGAAGGTTAATAACTTAAATTAATGTCAAAGAACTCATGTAAGAAATAATATAAATACATAAATAATGTAAGATTATATTGATTCTGATTTTATTCTTGATTTATAACCATAATTATTATTAATGAAAAGTACTTACAGTTATTTTCATGTTGATTTTGATAGTTTCTCCTTCTTTAAAACTCAAATCGAGCTGTTGCTGTTGACCTTGATCACCTTCTTGTTCTTTTCGCAACCACTTAAAGTGATCTTGTAGAGCTACATTTAGGTCAAATGAATCTGATCTATCACCAAATCCCAAGCCAATGTATGCACTTCTCCCTGCAACATTATCATTTACCATAATTCTTGATGAACAATTCACTAGAAGCCTATAGATATATCATATAATTAATTTATGCACCATTTGACGTAAATATCCTGCCAGATAAATTTAGTATCTAAACACTTACCATTATCATCCTGTATCCTAACAACAAAATATCTTGAGCTATCAGTGACAGACTCAAGTGCTACTCCAGGATATTTATCAATAGGGCATTTTGCAAACAGTTCTCCACTAGCTTTGTCTTCCAACTTCATAATTAGCTCGTCACCTTTCGCAACAAGGCGCATACGCCCCGTCCATTGTGGTTCCTGAAGATTCCAATCAGCTGCCCTAAAAATGTGAATGTAGTAATTATACCTATATTCCTGTTATATTTAACATAGAACATGATATTTTACATTAATTTTACCTGTATCCTCTATTAGTTGTTTTAGGAGGTATTTTAAAAACGAATACCTCATTTTTAACAAGCAATACACTTTCATACGCTTCCATTGTTTAGAAGTTCATATATATATCCATATAATTTGTTAATTTATAGTTCGTCGTAGCAGATAAATATGAGAAGTTAAAAGTATAACTATTCTCGTTAAGAGATTAAGCTTCGAAATATCAATACAAGGTAAACCTAACAAAGATGTAGAATTGACATGACGCGTTGATGTGACGTGACAGTTGATTAAATCACAGACTTTATAATTTATATATGTAGCAATATACTCTATGTCACAGACTAAGTAAAGAATTTATACTTCATATTAGTGAAGTCCACTAATAAACAGTAAAACGGTGATGCCTGTTTTCTAAATTAAATGTGAGTTCAGTAAGGCCTACAGAGTATGTATACGTACGTACGTTCACATTTGAATACAGTAAATACTCCAGGGGTTATATTAAACAAACAATATAAAAATAAATAATCGAAGAGCTTTACGATGGTGCCTTTTTTGCTTTTCTGCATTATCAGTTTCATATAGTAACTCGATACACAAACAATATATTTTAAGATATAATTTTTAATGATGCTAATTATTTTGCTCAAACTATAATGTCACTTTTAAGTTTTAACATCTAACAATAGTAGTCTAATCGGAATCCGGTTTGGGAACAAAATATTGAAAACCTGAAGATTTATATCATAAGACTTCTTTTGTTCAATAATGTTTTCAATAACTTAACTTACTAAAGTAAAGTACTAAACTAACTTTGTAAAGGTTTTCAATAATAATAATATTGATATTTTCTCTTATTAAAAATAAACGGATTCCGATTGGTCTGTAGTGTTGTATAATATATTAGATACCTACGTTAATACTTTCTGTCAAATTCAAAAGTCAAAATACTTTTACAAGTTTCCAAACAAAATATTATTTTCTGTCAGTTTTATCCTACAAAATTATTAATTTTATAACATTAGATTGTAGATGAAATAAAGTAAAATAAAAAGAAATTGCTTAATCTGACAATCAAATTTTTAATTCTTATTCGTAAGTGAACTTATAGTTGGAATCTAATATCATATCAAACTTTAAAGGTTAACTAATTAGCTTTGAAATTATTTTCAGGTATTTTTGGAATAAGCCATGGCCTATAATGTACGTATTAAACTTTCTTTTTAGTACTTATTTACAATTTCTACATAGCCAATTAATTAAAAAAAAAATAAAGTTATCTGGTAACTCAACTAATTATGATTATTATTTTGAATCTAATGTATTTTAATTATAACTTGACTCTTGACTATCTGCTGCTATATATCTGCAACAATGAGTGACTGATAGTAGTGTAGAGAAGTTGTCCGTTGACTCCTTCATTGGTTACAATTTTATACACACTTAGCCTAAGAAAAAGGAAGGGAATGCTTTTTTATTTCTTTCCATCAAGTAGCTTAGATATAGCATTAATATATTTAATAGATGTTATTCCTTAAAATATAATTTAAATAAATTATACATCTTATCATCAGTCATTTTAACTCAGTAAAATAAAATTAAGTTACTAATAGACCAAGCTAAGTTGAAGTGAGAATGGGTCACTGCTTCTCAATGAAACATATGTCACTACAACAAACATATGTAGCACTATTTTCATTTCCAAAAATATAGTTTGTAAACTAAATCTTAAGTCAAAAGATATGTTTTTAAAAGTGTATATACCTATACAATATACATGTACTCACAGAGATGAGACATTTTACTAGTATTTGAAATGCAAAATACCTATTTCCATTTTGTATTTAAATTTACTTTTAAAACTTGAAATAACTTTTAGAACTTATCTTGTATTTGCAAAATGCAAAATACTTCTTGATAAGTTTTGGCATGATTATGAGACCACCCAGAAGGAAGATAAAAGTGATGAAGTCGAACAAATTATTTTATTACAATCTGTTAAGTATCGTTAACAAAAGTGACCCATCTAGAAAAAATTAAAAACAATATTTATCTTTTTGGATTTCTTTGCAAATTTATTTTAAGTTATGGTTCCCGAGTTTCGAATGCTTTACAGTAATCCTGGTCACGGGAGAGACTAAGGTGCTAGATGTCTCAAAGGCATTATATATTTGTAAGTTGTAACATAGAGCCTACCCACAAATTAACAAAATGAATTCAAAAAATTGAAAAACGGCACCAAAGTACCTTACAATATTTGTTCATTTAATTTTAAAACTTTTTTATAATTTTTATAATTCAATATGGAATATTATTTGTTTAATTTAAGCTGTTATTAATATGATATTATGATTCGAGAAGATATGGATATTAAAAAACATCCAAATTTCCATAGAAAAGATGGCTGGGTACTACCATCGCCGTGGGATCCTGTCATTAATATAATAAAATCACATAATAAATCTAAATATAACAGACAGTTAGATGTAGTAAGTTCTTACTGCACGGATCAAAATAATAATATTTCAAATTAATATTTTTCATTTGTAAATGTAAGTAGTAATAGTGTTGATTAATAATTTGTTTTTTAAATAATAACAAACTAAATTAAAATTATTATTCTTAATTAATTTTAACTTTTTAAATCACACATAGAACAATAATGTGGCTTGAATAATTAATATTTTATTTTTCTTTATGTTTATAAATATAATAATGGCAACACTAAATATAGATTACTAATTATTAAAGTTTCGTATAAAAATTTGTAATAAAATATATTATTAAAGCTAAAATTAACCACTTGAACCCCGCTGGTGCCTATAGCGTCTGTAAATAATAACCTCAATTTTTCTCTTTTAATAGAAATCCATCCGAATTTTAATTACAGTGGCATATTATCAAGAATTATTGGTCCATGTTTTTAAAGTAAGGACTATTCTGTATTTTAGTATTATTTTGATTAAGAGTCCAAACATAACTCGGATGTTTGTTTTAAAATTGCGCGATGAGCTGCGCAAATATAAGGAACGAGCCGCGAATGCTATAAAGTTTAGAATTTGATTGTAACTAATAACTAATATAAAGAAATCAAAAAATGGTTTTGTGCGATTACATGTTTATTCATAAAATAGTGTTTCAAATTTAGTGTAAATATAGACCGTGGTATTGTCAGAAATAAATATAATACAACAACTAGTAAATATTCAGCTAAAACTCATGTATTGTTAGCTTATTTATTATAATTCATCAATAGTTAAAAGTGTATTTTACATATTGTCATAAATGCTCAGATTATTTAAAAACCCAAAACAGCAAAAACATTTTAAATCGGTGCTATATAATTTGAATTAAGAGTGTTTTTTTATGTAATGGTTGTATCGGGGAAAAATGACGCGCGGGTTCTAGTGGTTAAACAAATAATATTCCATATGTAAGATTGCATTTTTATATATTGAGTGTTTTAATAGAAAATAATATATTTGATTAATTTGTAATGATTTATGTTTAAGGCATTTACTTATGTGACCTTGGCCGATAGGAATGTTTCAAAAAAAAAATAAGAAAGGGCGCGGATTTGTTTTTCCCGCGCTTTTGCACAGATGTCGGTACTGCCTTGTAGTGACTATTCACGAATTGTTTGTAATACTAAAAATTATGGTTATATATTATGTAACTCACTAGCGATCATAAAAGTACTGAATATAAGAATATAAGGAAGGCAAGGAATATCTCGAAGTTTTATTAGGGATCTATACATATAATAAAATTGTAACTAAGTCGAATCTGTACATTAAATATTTTTTGGAAAATCTAATTTAAATAGACATTATTATCGATACAGAGTCCGAATCTATAGTTTTTAGAATTTTTGTCTGTCTGTCTGTTACCGCATCACGAGAAGACCACTGGACAGATTTTGATGAAATTTGGTATGATGATAGCTGGATATCCGGGTCAACATATAGGATACTTTTTACCAAAAATATCTCATTTCTGAGAAAAATACAAAAACTGCATTGTAAGAGTATACTAATATGTAAAACCTAAGAATTGGGTTTTTAGTCATCTACGCGGGCGGAGCCGTGGGCAATGCTAGTTAAAATTATAAAAATGTTTTAAAATTATCAAATATTGTAAGGTGCCATTTTTCAATTTTTTGAATTCATTTTCTTAATTTGTGGGTAGGCTCTATGTTACAACTTACAAATATATAATGCCTTTGAGACATCTAGCACCTTAGTCTCTCCCGTGACCATGATTGCTGTAAAGCATTCGAAACATCGGGAACCAAAAATTAAAATAAATTCGCGAAAAATCCGAAAAGATAAATATTGTTTTAATTTTTTCTAGCTGAATTACTTTTGTTAGCTTATTGATACCTACTTTACTTAACAGTATAAATTATCTCATTTATTATTGACTTTAGGGCCTAAATGTACAGGAACAAAGTTACGTGGAATAAAAATTCCTACAACTCCCCTTTACTTTAATTAGGTACTCACTTAAATTGCCAGCTTGCTAATAAAATAAAGAAAATTAAAAACTATAAGAGTATTTTATTTGAAAAAAATATATGTGATAGATACTATTTATTTATTTTGTATATCTAACAGAAATACTTTTAATTTAACAAAATATATACGAGTATACATATATAGGGGCCATCCATAAATTACGTCACACGAATTTAATGATTTCTTGAACTCCTTGGGTCACGACCACGACTTTTGCCTATTTCTCCAGCCTGATGTCGCGATCAAGGCTCAATTAATATAAATAAGAGAATTTCGAAAAATGCTAAAACACGTATTTATTTAATTGTATTGAAGAGCATTAATACCAAGTTTCAAGTAATTCTGATCATAAATAATATTCTTTGCCCATACAAACTTTACCCCATTTTACTCCTTTTATGGGATGAATTTCGAAAAAATAAAGTATATTTCTTATTTTTAATCTTAAAGCTAAACACCACTTTCTGTGTATTTAACATTAAGAATTACAGAGTTTTATACAATCTTTATAAATTTCGAGAACTTTACTAAACATTTTGATTGTAGTTGTAAAATTCGAAATAAATGATCAACGAAACGAAATGATTAGTTACAAAAAAAAATACGCGAGATTATTTTTTTACTTAAAATTTTAGCCGATTGACTAGTATCTAAAGCAATCCTAATCCGTTCCACCAAGTGACCAATGAAATGACTGCTATCACGAATCAAAGATTGATCAAAGAAAATGGCGGTCGAGTCCATAGCTGTAAATAACAAGCAAAGATGTTTTTCTAATATTCGTTTTTATGAATGACAAAATGTAGTGAAGTAATAAAGTGAATTTAAATGAACTGAATTTCGTGAACATTATGTATGCGTGTTTGTGTGTCAATTATGTAAGAATGAAGACGCAAATCGTTTATGTTAAATGACTTTTGCGTCTATACAAATGCATAAAAATGGGAAACTTCCTTTTACTAACGACTATAGCAGTTGCGTTTTTTATTCGAATATCGATGCAAAGTGAAAATAACGAATGTCCTCAAAAATGTGACTGTTTAGAGCAATATGTAGACTGCTCAAAGAAAAATTTGGTGTTAGTGCCAAGAATTCCAAAGTGGGTGGAACAATTAGACCTAAGTTATAATAAATTGAGTAAAGATGTGAGCGACGGTTTCAAAGAATTATCGTTTTTAAAAATTTTAAAGCTGGATAAGAATGTCTTGGGTCGTATTCCTGACTTTCAACATCATAATGAATTGCAAGAAGTAAGCCTAAATAGAAATAGTATCAATGCTATAGATACAGGCCATTTTCCAGTTAATAGTTCAATCAAATCCTTGAGCTTAAACAGCAACCACATTAGATTAATTGAAGATGGAGCCCTTAATAATTTAACAAATTTAATGATATTAAAACTGAATAGAAATGAATTAACATCTCTACCTAACCATTTGTTTATGCACCAGTCCAACCTGAAAGTGTTAGAACTTAACCACAACAACCTTCATAGTTTAAATGGTCTTCTATTTCAAGGCCTCTCCAGTTTAACTACTTTAAAAATCAAATATAATAATATTGAAAACATTATGGATGGAGCATTTTTTGGATTTAAATCTGTTAACCTTTTGCAATTAGATCATAACAAGATCAAAAATATATCTAAAGGTTGGATGTATGGACTAGAGTCTTTGACAATTTTATCGTTGTCGAACAATTTTATTTCACAAAATATTGATTCTGGTAGCTGGGAATTATGCACTAATTTAGAAGATTTAGATTTGTCTCATAATCATCTAATGGAAGTAGAGGGTAGAACGTTTCAACATTTAACTAATTTGCACACACTTAATTTGAGCAATAATAATATATCTGCTATTTCACAAGAAGCTTTTAGTCACATGGTTCAGTTACAAACACTACATTTAAATAATAACAAGGTATCTTGGACAGTTGAAGATATGTCTGGCCCATTTTCTAAATTGCAAAACCTTATGATCTTCAATTTATCAGCAAATCACATCAAATCCATCAGTTCTAGAGCCTTTGAAGGTCTTTCAAATTTAATTGAATTAGACTTGAGAGCAAATAACATCACTTCAATACAACAACATGCATTTGACTCATTGACTAAAATACGTAAACTTTATATGAATTCTTCATCATTATTATGTGATTGCAATTTACTATGGATGGTTAAATGGATAAGAGAGAAAGCAGGGCAAAAATTTGTAACAGCAACATGTGCTTATCCATCTGAAATACGAGGTGTGACTATTTCAAGACTTAAAGAAGATAATTGTGGAGACTCTCCAAAACCAAAAATTACAGAACATCCAAAATCTCATCTGGCTATAAAAAATAGATTAGCAAATTTAGTGTGTTCTGCTACATCCAATCCTTTCAGTAATATGACATTTGTATGGCGAAAAAATAATGGCAATGTCAGTAATCCAACAGTGTATGAAAATGTAACAATAACTGAAAATGGTAAACCACATGCAACTTCAGTTCTGGTTATACCAGATGTGTCTCATTCAGATTCTGGTAAATACCAATGTGTGGTTAGTAACAAATTTGGGACGACATACTCTTCAAAGGCAAAAGTTAATATAGTAACGTTCCCTCGTTTTATAAAAACACCTACTAATGTAACTGTAAAAACTGGGGAAACAGTTACCCTAAACTGTGCTGCCACAGGAGATCCACCACCAGAGATTTCATGGAAAAAAGATGGTGGCAATGATTTTCCAGCTGCACGAGAGAGACGCATGAATGTTATGCCAACTGATCATCTATTTTTTATTGTCAATGCAAAAACTACAGATATGGGAATATATAGCTGTGCTGCAAAAAATCCAGCTGGTACTATAATATCAAATGCTACTCTTACTGTATTGCAGGAGCCCTCATTTATTAGAGTTCTAGAAAATAAAGAAGTGACAAGTGGAGATTCAGTTGTTTTACAATGTATGATTACAGGTTCACCAAAGCCAGTATTGAAATGGTTAAAGAATGGAAGTCCAATTGTTCCTACTGAACGCCACTTCTTTACAGCTGATGATCAGTTATTAGTTATTATAGGTTCAGAAGCTAATGATGCAGGTCAATATGAATGTGAAATTACAAATGAACTTGGAACAAAAAAGGACATGATTGAACTAAAAGTATTACCACCTGTAGCGATACTAGTGAAAGAAGAGGATATGACAGGAATAATAATAATAACAGTTGTGTGTTGTGCAGTGGGGACTTCCATAATATGGGTGGTAATTATATATCACACTAGGCGACGCATGGCTGGACCTGTGCATAATTATCCTGCAGAAAGTGTGAAAATGACTCAAGTAGTACACAGTGACAGTGATTCTCCTCACATGTTCCCGGACAATTTATCTGAACATTCATCATGCAAAGATAGTGGAACAGGTGACTCTGCCAAACAAACGAGTTTTGATGGTGTGCCCACCGATAGAAGTGAGCAAGTTCATTTTGAAACAGCAGTTTGTCAAAGTTACTCACCAGTGCCAGAAGCTCATAAGCTTCTTCCTTCATCTTTTAAGCCGTCTATACAAGTGTGTGTGAATAATTGTGTCACACCTGCTACTTATAGTTTTTCTAGTCACAGTAGTAATGTTTAAGTCATTAAACACATTTGTATGTATGAAGAACAAAATATTGTTATTACATTGCCTTTCACTAACTAGATACTTTATTCTCAGTTGTTACAGTAAAGTATAGTAGTGGATACAATATATCTTTCGTATTCTGTTTAGTTAGTGAAAACGCTTTGTGTTAAGCACATTTTTAACTTGATTGCTTAGTACAAAATGTAACAAACTTGCCAGTATTGGTTTGATGTAAAAGACTGAATGTCATTTAAATGTATGGTCCTTGTTATTTTCTATTCTGTCTAGGCAATAAATAGGTATTCCTTAATTTATATAGTATATACAATATGATTTTAAGTGTAACTTTTAATATAATATTATGAGATTTCTGGCCCTAATTATTCCCCTATTAACTTTAAACTCCTTTGATTTTATTGATGAAAAAGTAATCACAATGATTAGTCAAATATTGATAAAAAGTAACAATGGAACAATAATTTATAGACTTCATTAATATTGTTAAGATAATGATAGCTATATAAACTATGTATAATTAGGATGTAAGTTGCATTTGAGGAGTGAGATTAGATTATTGGGCACAAAGTTAATTCTGATTTTGCCAATATAAAACACTGCATGTCTATTACTTACATATTAGTTTTGCAATCAAAAAAATTACAAATTTAGTACTCATATAGGTACATTGGAATATGGAATGCCCAATCTTATGATTTTTTTTTATTATCGATATCCCATAAATTTCATATATAACAATAATTTTTATGCAACCTTAACCTTCAATATACCTGCAATGTTTACCCACCAATCTCAACTTAGAAATTTCTGAAGTAAAATTATTGTATTTATTATTTATGCTGTCAATATTCCTACTAGACAATTGTAAGAATTTAAAATATATTTTATTAAATTGCAAAATTTAAACTAAATAATTATTATTGTAAAAGCTTCACATTACCCCTTTGATAATTACACCAACTAATAATAATAAAAATATATATTGTGAATAATATTTATAATACCTCAATGATTGTTTATAAAAACTACATTATTATATAATAAATACATAACTTGTAAATTAAAAATAGGCTAAAACACTAATAATTTTAGAATTTTCTGGAAATAACTGCCTCAATTTATTACATGTTTTATAACTCTCATGTAGTATTTTTAATTTCTATTATAAATTCAAGTGTTTCTACACTTGTTTTTATATCATTTTTTGTACAGATACTTTTGGATTTATTTGCCTTATACCAGCCAATTAGGTATAATCTGACATGTATTTTTTTTAACAAAGTGGCAATCTATAAGAATAGTTATTAATTTATTTTATAAAATGCTTTGTATGCTGAACAATTATGTATTACAAATACAGAGACATGAGAAACTTTCCATATATGGATACAGGAATCTTTTACTCAAATAGACTGGATTGTGCCTACCTACCTAATTAGCTACAGCATTCAATATGTATATTGTATAGCTACATATAAAATAAAACCAATAAACTTGTAGTGTAATTATTGGTACCTACTTCTTATTAGAGAATATTAATATAATATTTAAGACATGTTTGTATTTATAAGTATTAATATTGATGTGAATGTAAACAATGGCAAGCTATTATTTTAAATATTATAGTAGGGGAGCCCTACCCCAGCTAAACTGGGATGAGGGGTGGACAAAGAAGAAGATTAGGGTAGCCCAAGAGAGGATTTTTGCAGTTACTCAAGCGCGGCAGATTAACGTAAGGGGGGATACTTTGCACTCCACCACTACTGTTGAGTACCTCCACCATAATATAAGTCCTCTATAATATAAGGTATGGTATGGCATGACACCCTGAAAAGTGTATAATTCAATAATCTGCAGCTTTTAATCATCGACTCTAAAAGTTTATGTTGATTTTTGCCTCTTCGGCTTGTGCAAAGCGGCAGATTATTGAATTGCACACTTTTCGGGATGTAATTAGCCAACCATACCTTAATCTGACGATTTCAAGTATTTCTACCTTATCAAAATATATTTTAAATTTTTTTATAGGTAGACGCACGCCCATATATAGAGGACTTATATTAAGGTGGAGGTATTTAACAGAGTGCAAGGTATACCCCTTTATGTTAATCTGCCGCGCTTGAGTAACTTCAAAAATCCTCTCTTGGGCTCCCGTACCATTAACACAATATTGTGATTATAAGAGATTTAAATTCTTATTTAAACGCAATTATAGTAATCATTTTCTGAGTTCTTTTTTTAAGAATCGAAAGATATGAAATGTTAATTCTTGGTGTGAATTAAAATTAAACTTGTAGCAGGATCAAATTAGAATATTTTTAATGAGAGTTGCAATCATAAAATATGGCCCCGATATTTCAACCTCGTAACGGCGCAACGCTCCTGATGAACAATAGTTATAATTATTCCCAAACTGATTTCCATATGATTTAATGATATCATATAAAATCATATGGAAAATGAAACCTCCTGAAAGTAACGTTTATGAAAATATGAATTTACCAAATAGGTTTATTTATTTTTTCAACACACTGCCATAATTGTGAAATAATACATTAAAACTAATAAAATGCGATTACATTATGCGTTAAGGAATATTTAAGAAATAGCTGATGTTATCATAAAACAATACGAGTTTGATTATACATTCCTTTTAACTGAGATTTGGGGATTTTTATGACTTCATGTGAAAGTAAATAGAATTTCAAACCTGATTATTATATTCAAAACATAAGCATGTTAGAGAGTCCGCGCACTAGGCAGTTTGTCTGCGCCAGCCAATGGAACATGACTGCGTATGAGAGCCCGCGCACTAGGCAGCTACGGCTGCCTTGCTGCGGCAGCCAGAGCGAGTGTAGGCGAATGTATGTGGCTGCCGTCAGTTTCTGCGCACTTGTCCATGTAGGAAATAAATAATATGAAAAATAAACAGTGTTATTACCCGACTGCGCCAGGAGGGTTATGATTTTGAGTAGTAGTATGTACATACATAATATATACGTACATATGTACGTGTATATTTCTTTGGCACGCTCTATAGCCTAAACGATTCGTCTTAATTCTGAGTGACTGGGTATCTATATCAAAATTATAAAAATACCATTGCTGATCTTATGTCCTCAATTTTTTTTCTCAAAACCTGTCGAGTGGGGTATCATAATAAAGGGTTTTATAAATCGCTTACAAAAATATATACGTATTATTAATAATTAGATCTTCCACGTTCATATCGCTCGACAGAATAATCCCAACTGGCTGCTCAATTTTTTGACCACCACAGCCTGGCTGCCGCAGCCGAGCTGCCTAGTGCGTATTAGCTCTAAAAAGGAATGTATACAGTAAGTCGTCCGTATGTTTAATATTTATAGGTTATATTGGTATTGATATAAAATGGAGCTTAAAATGCCTTAGCTTCAGATATACTGCTTTCGTCCTATTTTTGCTGCTATAACGACTGTTTCGTATTGTTTTTATGCTACGATGTATATATTATAATATGATAATTACCTATTTATATTTTATAGAATAAATTGGATTTAAAACATTAATTCATGTTGTTTAAATAAATTGCCAATTTTTTTTTATATGAATCGCGACACTTGTTAACAAATAGAAAACAATTCAAGATTTTGCCGCCGCCTGCCACAGAATAAGTGTTACTTTGAAATAAAAAACTACAATAAATCCATGAAATCAACGTAGTTTTAACTTCCTAAAAGATTATTTACTTAACACAGTTGACCTATCTTTACTATAAGAGTACGTCACAAGGCTACTAAGCACTTTCCACTTTTTGAGCTCATCTCAAGAACAGAATTTATATATAATTTTGTTATTTTGTGTAATAAACAATATATTTACATAAAAACGGTTTTCGTGATCTCTGATAGCTCGTGCGGCCTACGGTGAAAAAAAAATGCCTGCACCATATAATTCTCTTTTCGTATGTATTGTCGTTTGAACTTCATTGCATAGTATCAAACCACTGGAAGATAATCATAGTAGGGGAGCCCAAGAGGGGATTTTCTGTAGTTACTCGAGCGCGGCAGATTAACATAAAAGAGGTTACCTTGCACTCTATTGAGTACTTTCACCACAATATAAGTCTTCTATATAAAGGGGCGCGTCTAGGGAAGCCGATTAAAATATTTAAAAAATGTTTTGATAAGGTAGAAATACTTGAAACCGTCAGATTAAGGTGTGGTAGGCTAGTCACATCCTGAAAAGTGTCCAATTCAATAATCTGCCGATTTGCACAAGCCGAAGAGGCAAAAATCGGCTATAAAGTTTATGATGATACTATGATGGTACTCAATAGAGTGCAAGGTAACCTCTTTTATGTTAATCTGCCGCGCTCGAGTAACTACAGAAAATCCCCTCTTGGGCTCCCCTACTATCATCTTTCAAAGCTAAACCAGCAATCTATACATATAATAAAATTGTAACTAAGCCGAATCTGTACATTAAATATTTTTTGGAAAATCTTATTGAAATAAACATTATTGTCGATACAGAGGCCTAATCTATAGTTTTTAGAATTTTTGTCTATCTGTCTGTTACCGTATCACAGAAAAACCACTGGAGGGATTTTGATGAAATTTGGTATGGTGATAGCTGGTTATCCGGGTCAACATATAGGATACTTTTTACCGCGGGAAAATATCTCATTTCTGAGAAAAAATACAAAAACTGCAATGTAAGAGTATATTAATATGTTAAACCTAAGAATTTGGTTTTTGGTCATCTGAACGCGGGCGGAGCCGCGGACAATGCTAGTATAAATATAAATAAAGAAATCATACCCAACTATGGCTTTATCGAAGTACTAATTGAGCAACGGAAGCGCGTACTTAGAAACTAAATATCCCTAAGATGTTGTTATTACTACCCTTGAAAAATTCTTCGTTTTTAATGGTACAATTTTGCCTTTTTTTTCATTTTTAATGACATGACCTGACACGGGCAAGTCAACCTGGTTAGATTGCGTAAAAAAGGAAAACGGCAAGTTGGTGATCTGCACCATTTACGGGCACACAACTTGCGGTATCTATCCTACTCTAAATCTGTGGCTATAAATAATAAACACTCACTCACTCAAAAACTGGCTCTAATATGTGTTAGCGTGATAACTAATTTGTCTTAAATATGCATATAATATTAAATATACCTACATATAATTAATTTTCAACATTATAGCAAGGTTATCAGGGTGGGTACGGAGCAGGTGGACAACCCAACCAGTTGGAGATCGGCCATGGGCCCTACCCTTCTATAGGCGCAGGAGGAACAGTGTCACCGCAAGTGCAGCAGTGGTTCCAAGCTGTTGACAAGGACCACTCTGGCTTCATAACCGCGCAAGAATTGAGAGCGGCCTTGGTAAATGCTCAAGGGAAAACTTTTTCGGAAACCGCCTGCAATCTTATGATTGGTTAGTTTAAAAAACTGAACAATAAAATTAACCTATACTTTTATTAATTTACCTTATTAGATACACCATGAATGAATTTCATTTTTACGATATCATAACTCTTGTCCTTAAAAAAATATGTCAATAGTTTTTTTTCTGATTTCCAACAAAACCAAAATATCCATGAAATAGAATCAAAAACAAATCTAGTTCCAACATTCTCACGTTATAATTATTTATTTCTATTAACTGTGCAATCATTTGGGCTGATCTGTCAATAGATCTCTTCATAAATAATTGTATTTTTATCCATTGAGTAAGCCAATTTCAATTATTTTGAGCAGTCCACCAATACATAAGACTTGGGACCAATAAGAGCTTTCTTTAGTATTGCAGTAAATATTTATAAACTCATGTAAAAATTATGAGATCAATTATGTAAATATTTCGTTATTTCAAAATATTATTATTTATACACTTTTCCTATTTATGCCTCATTCATCTCTTTACAGGCATGTTCGATAAAGATCGCTCAGGCCACATTAATGTGGAGGAATTTGATAAATTGTATACATACGTTAATCAATGGCTCGCGGTGTTTAAGACATACGACACTGACCAGTCCGGGCACATTGAGGAAGAGGAATTATCAAAAGGTAAGTTTTTATTTTCGCCTTTTTTTCTTTATTCCTTCTTAATATCATACATTCTAAAACGATGACTCCTATGGTACAAAGTATTTAATAATAGACTAACATTGCTTTTTTTTTAAATCAATTAACATAACTACTCCATTCACGGAGTTGCATCGCATGACGCGCGTGGACCCAGATTAGTGTGTCGAGTGAGAGTTCTACAGAATTCTTCTTCAAATGATTTCACCGGCGCCTTAAAGGTCCGAGTATCGAGTATGGGCCAATTTCACCATACTTGTAACTAATGTCGTTGGTTTATGAAATACTGATTTAAAGAAATTTAGTAAAATTGGCCTAAACATGTCCAGCGAGAAAGTAATGTCTCTTTTTGTCAATAGACGGCGTAGTTCTAATTTCATAGAAATCTGCAAATACGACGCAAACTCGCTCGAATAGGTACATAAACAAGCACTAGGCGCCGGTTCATTAGGAATAATTTAATATATTTTGTATTGTACTTCGTACTAGACTAAATGCTACATTTGAATATTCTGGTCCAGCGTCCATAAGTCTAGGTTGTATTAATTTTAACAAAGGCTCAAAAATATAAAAAAAAATTAACAAAATGTCCCTTTCTTATCTATTATATTTGTTTTGAGTATAAATGGGTAAAATTTTTTTGCAGCATTGACACAGATGGGATTCAGATTCTCGCCGGACTTTATCAAGTTTCTTGTAAAGAGATGTGATCCCAGAGAGGGAAAGGTATCTGTGGACAGCTTTATAGTCCTTTGTGTTCAAGTACAACGATTCACTGAAGCATTTAGAGTGAGGGATACTCAACAAAATGGAACAGTTACAATTGGCTTTGAAGATTTTCTCAATGTTGCTCTCAGCTGCTCTATATAAGCATAATAAGCATATATTGGCTTGTTTCTGGATTCTATGGTAATAGAATTAATTAACAAATTTATGAAAGCTTATCAATATAAGTCCAGTGTTTTGTTCACTTACTCAGATAAATACCAAATAATAGATCTTTTATTTACATTTAAATATGATATACAAGCAGCGCTTATGTCATTTTTTGAATTGTGCCTATTTTTGCCATTCCTGGTTCACATGGTTTAATGAAATCAAGATTTTGTAAAAAATATATAAAATAAATGACACCACCATTATTGTAAATATTTTATTTAAGCTCCTCTTATAATCAAAAATCAATGGATATATCTGAAACAAAAATTAAGTCAGACAATTTAAAAAAATAATAATCTGTATATAAAAATGTTTTTACAATTGCTTATCAATTAATATTATTGAAGATTGAATGAGTATTAATTATCCTTTAAATAATAATTATGGAACCATTTAAGGAAGTATAAGTTCTTAAAAAAATATATATTTGTAATTTTCTTTGGAAACAAGTTTTAGTGATTATTACTTTTAAAATTCAAGTCTTCAAATAAAGTGCTTACTTGCATCATTTTTCCTTCTCCTTGCCTCAGATTTTTCTAAGCTAAATACAACCTCTTGAAAGTTTTTCACAGCTGTTCTCATATTAGTCTGATGTTGGACACTATCTGAAGAACTATCATCAAGGAGTGTGTAAATGGTAGGGATCTCTTCTAATTTCATGTTTTTTGCATGTTCTGGCTTAAATACAATGGATACTTTCCCAGTCTTAGGATGTATACTGAATGGAGATTTTAACAAATGGTTGAACCCTTTTGTTACATTCACATCAAGTCTTGGATAACAATATTGTATTTTTATTTCTTCTACTAAATATTTCATTTTTCTTATTCCATTCATGTTCTGAATACAAGGAAAATGTAAATATATGGTTAATAACATATTTTTTTGTTAGTAATTTTAATTACTTTTTAGATAAAAATAGTCTTTACTAATATAATGTTAGATTTCTAATTGTTTATAATTTATTTTATATTTTCATTATTATCATGCATAAGTTTACCTTATTGCTAAATTATGAAAAATAACATACTTCTTTACAATATTTGTTGTATGTATCAATAAACGCCGCCCATCTTTCTTGAGATGATGATGGCAACCTCTCTAAGTTTTCTTGAACTTGTTTTCTTAATGTTTCATCAGGTATCATTTTTAAGAAAACTTTTGACCTTTCCAATGTGGATAGGAATCCTTGGTCTTGTAGGATTTCTTCAAAGTATGTATCAATTACACTCAGAGCTCTCCTAATAAAAAACAATATTGTAATAAATCAAATCAGCAGATAATATATAATGTATGCATTTAGAATATAATTCTTCTTGTTAAACTAACCTGATACTAGAATGTAAGTTGTCACTACCTAAATGTACTTTTTTATTTCGATTTTCACCTCCCATAATGAGACAAAGATAATCAGCAACAGCAGCCCTACCGGGGCTATCAAGGGTTCTTGCTTCATAGTCTGAAACCCAGCAATGTATACCACGTCTTCCAGAAAAAACCCAAAGAATATTTTGGAAACCAAAATCCTCTGAAATGTTTCCAATAATGAATATGAATATATTAATCATTCACATTTATTATTTTGCTGTAGTTTTGTTTAGAATCATAATAAATTTCATTTAGTTTAAGACATATCAATAAAAAAATCATTATAAAATATAAAAAAAAAATTGTTTTACAAAACTAAGAAATAAGTATTAAAGAATTGAGTCTGGGACTTGTCAAACAAAACATATGGACCCAAACTAAAAGGGTTTAGTAGTAGCCACTGAAGAGTTTCACTATCCACCTCGGCTCCATGAACAGATCAGCTCTAAGATATCAAATTATAGTATTGCCATCCTAACTACAAATACATATTACATACTAAGTTTCATTTTAATACAATAATTACAACTAGCTTAAATTAACTTCCAGCATTTCATTACATTGTTAATTACAAGTGAATTTAATAAAATAATAAAAGCATGTTAAACATAAAAACAAAGGTTTTTGCAAGCATGGTAAATAATTTAATGTATGAATACCTTTTAATGCTAGTTGTATGATTTCACAGGCTACTACCATGAATTTCCAACATTTATCACATACTTTAGCTTCTTGACAACAAGTTCGCACTTCATCATAATCTGTAAGATCAATATCAAAAACAAGTTCTCTCGCAAGTACAACTGCATCATGACGGCCGACAGATGGCCTAAAATTAGAAAACAATACTAAAAATACCATATCATTATTATGATACACTGTACATGACCTCACTGACAGACATTGTTCTGTTCCTATATTGTTTCTTTGTTATCTTTGAGTTATATAAAAATCTTAAAGGACAAAGCACTATTAGTTTCTCCCAAATCTAGGCAACATTTCCTATTAAATTTCTATGAACATTTAACAAATTAATAAATATTAAATTATTAGTCAAGCCGGTCTATTACTAAACAGAATTGGTGACATTTTAAATGCAGATAAAATGTATCTTGGTCCTGGATTAACATGTAGGTTTTTTTTACATCAGTATATGCTGAACGTAAGGAGCTGTGAACAAAAACTAGGAGGTATTGGTGGTTTTAGATTCTATGGACTAGATCCCCAATTATACCAATAACTTACTTGGTATTGTAAACTGCACCGATATCAAGTTTATGGGGACATTTCTTTTGTAATAATGTTTGAAGTTCCTTTTGATTACTAATAGACAAATATCGTAAATACACATCGTCCGCTAAAGTAAATGATAATTCCCTGTTTGAAAGTGGCTGAGGGGTGTTTCCACACGCAAGCCATCGACAAAATATATTTTGTGGAAATAGTCTGGTGTAGTAGACAGGCAACATATCAGGTAAAACATTTTCATCGTACTGCCCAACCTGTAATTATTATTTCAAATGTAATGTAACATTAACCATTATCCAATAACCAGTTATACATAAATTTTATTTAATACTAACCATTATTTTTTTTAAACGATTAACTTAAATAATATAATTAGTAATCCTTGTCAACTTTCATTTGGCCGCTTGGCGCCAAGTTAAAGTGGCACTTCAACTTGGCTGACGGGCGGCAGTGCCATCTGCCGAAGCAAATGTCAATTAACATCACACACAACAGATTATAGAGAATACAGATTCAGATTAACCCAACGGGAAGAATTTTGCTTTTTTCTCCCGCAAGATGTCGTGATCACTTAAGCCCTCAGTATATTGTAAAGTAAAAAAAAATAATAAAAATGACAAGCTGTGGAGTGCATAATGCAAAGAAAATAAATATCGTTTGTTCCGAAAAGACAAAACTAAATAAATTGTGGGCTAAAGCAATAAGACTACCAAAATTAGCGAAATCACAATAATTTAATATGTAAGGCTGAGGTTTTAATTTACAACGTCGAAAAGTAAAGGAGAATGCGGTGCCGTCTGTTTTTCCTTGGTCCAAGTTTTCATGCATCTATGCAAATACAAGAATTAATACAAAATATTTGCATTGTTTTATTTTAAATGTAAATACCACTTTCTGTGCATTAATTACAGAATTTCATATCTTAAAGCTAAACACCACTTTTTGTGTATTTCACATTAAGAATGACGGAGTTTCATACAATATTAAATTAATCCCCTATTTTATCCACTTAGGGAATGATTATGATAAACTTCTTTTTTATCAGATGCCTATAACATAAATAAGGCATACATCCTTCAAATTTCATGTTTCTACGGTCAGCGGTTTATGCTGTGCATTGATCCATCAGTAAGTGAGGACCACCACAGGATGCACCTCTCCTTTTTAATTTTTCCTTCAGTTGGTCTAACTTCCAGGTACAATACATTGCACAGGTAAGATACTAATATAATAAAGGCCAGAAACCAGGTATAAAAGAGATATCTCAATAAATTGCTTAGCTTCACACAGAGTATAAATAGGCGATACGTGTGACGCCCTCCTATCGAGAAATCTTCGCCATTATGTATCAAATTACCTGCAAAATATATTACCTTTTTAACTTCAAAGTTGAACATGGATAAAACTGCAGTGATCATGGAAAATTTTATAAATAGATAATTTTACAGTATTGTAAGTTCATTTTTCTTTCCTTTAAGCTTATGAAAATATTTTATTTACTTCTACCTTACATTTTCTTCCTTTTTCATTTAATTGCTTTGACATGATTTGTATACTCAAATACATTCTCATTTATATAGTGTACCATCTATGCTCCTATTAGAACGCTCAAAATAATTAATTATCCTACATATAATTACTCGTGTGTTAGTATTGAAGAATAGAAATTATGGAAATAAATTCGAAAAATGCTTATAAAATATTTATTAAAGTATCATTGGGCAAGTATTGCAATAATGCAACACGTATATTATTTTTGCTATTCATAATATATTACAATTGTTGTTACAGAGCCCTATATTCCTATATATACAGCTATTACACATTTGGTTCAAAATGAAGTTCACAAAATCGTTCAGTATTTACTGCAAAATCCTATTTGTGGACTATCCGTTGTTTTAACAATGATAATTGTGTTAACAATGACATTAATCAAATCAATAATAGTATTGGGAGGAGTTGTATGTGTTACAGTTATTATCATTATGCTCGAAGGTATAAACAAGAAATAATAGTACTAATAAATCCTAGCAGTTTTGCGAACAGTAGACCTCGCGAGCACAAACTGCATTTTGAAGAGCTATTTTGCTCATTACACCGAAGATCCCCATTCAGTTCTTCACTAAATTTTTAGAGAACAACTTAAAAGAGGAAAACCTTTCAAATAAAAATAACCCCATCGATATTGGATCTCATAAGGCGGAGATACCCAATAGCCCTCTGAGTCTTTCTCAGTTTGTTTGAACTCCGTGGCCAAAATAGGTCATTAGTCAATACAATATTTTTTTTCTAAGTAAACTAAAATACTGCGTAAAAATCTAAGCACCGCAGAATTTAAAGCTTAAAGTCCATAATATGTTTAAGACAATCCCAAGAACAGGTTGTCCCATGTATTGCAGATCTATTCATAAACTCAAGATCTGGTTAAGACAACGTACAAATTTATACAAATAAAAATCTTATACAAATAAAGATTTTTTTGTTACAGGTTTGTTAACATTATGCTTGGGTCTTGTTATAATCCTTAATGCTACAATCATATTGATTGTACTAATGATAATAAATAAACAATAGAATTTGGACGCTGAATTTTGACTTAAATCGAAAATATATCTAATTAATAATTTTATAAATATATAAAATTATTTAATTAGCTTTAAATAGTACTATTAATATTCAATATTAGTAATAATGTACATACGATGTTCATGATTAATAGAACTAATAAAGTGATAACAGTATTATAATTTTCTATTTTTACCACTTTTGCGACAAGTTACTTTATATCACATGATATTTTGTTGTTAAAAATAATAAGCAAAGATTTAGAGAGGTTGATGAGATTTTAAAGTTTAGAATAAAGAACAGTTTATTTTTATGGCTGCTACATACCCCAGAATTTAATCTACATGGAGAAGACCAAATCAAATGTAACGTACATAGACTATTATATACTGAGAAACGTGTACACAAAGAGTAGTGGATAAAATTCGATGAATGAATGGACTGGTGTAGCAATAACAGTTCTCTTTCTTTAGTTTTGGCTCCATCGTTTGGTTTTTCGAATTTCATTTTTCCATATTTTATTGCATCACTGTTCTTTTTGGTTACTTATTTTAATATAATTCATTTAATGCATGGCTAATTAAAACATTTAACGGCCAATATTTTAATATTTAATTAAAATTTTGTCTGTTCTATCTAGAGATTCTAGACGAATATTTCATGCTTTTTGTGTGCTTAACATAAAGGCTCCTACACACAGTGCCTAGGAGCCTTTATAAAGCCGCCAGCTTTGCCGCACAAAAAGGCTTTGGCTTAGTGTAAGTTTCTGCGGCACGTGCCGGCGCGGCGGCACGGACGCCAGCAGCAGTGCCGGCGACACTGTGTGTTGGAGCCCTAATATCACTTGGTCTTTTCCAGCTTTAAAAACTTAATAAAGTACGTAAGTCTTTAGACATAGAATAATCATTTATAACTCTTTTCATTCAATGTATTTTTAGTCTTATTATCTATCATCAATTTTTTTTCTTTTAATAAATTATTTTAAGTTAATTTTATCGATCCTTTTTAAATCCAAAGAAAACCCATTATGATTTTATATTATACTTGGTTTTTTTTTAAACCTTATTCTAATTTCTGATACATAGGTACTATACTTTAAAAAATTTTTCGATCGTTCTTTAGATGAGAAGTGACGAGTTGAAACTGTTATAGTATCTGTACTTTGAGATGACGGATTGAGAATTTGAGACTACTTTATCTAGTCTAGTTTTAATGATTCTCAATCTATGGGCTTCAAAACTTAAAAACGACCTTAGTGTAAGATTATTGTTTGGTAATATTAAGTATGACTGTTTAGTAAGTTTAAAAAAGTGATATAAAAGTATAATCTTTTATTTTTATTGTGGTTGTGATACAAATAATGGATTTCTTTAAACAAGGTCAGGGTTCTTAGCAGTAACGATGATGTAAAAAATGAGAGTAAGTTCTTTTTAATTTTTCATTTAATAAATTATTAGAATATCTTTATAAGATTAAAAAACATTATAATCTTTTCATTTAGAAAACAATTGTCAACGAATATCACAATAATATTTTCGTAATTTTTATTTCAATTCTAGCCCTTCTGTTCATTTACTTCACATTACAGACACTGTTTTACAGATGATTGTTTCAATATTGTTCGTGGTTTTAAATTTTCAACGTATTAATATTGAGTATATTTAATTTGCAGACTAATTTAAGTTATGTAAAATCTTGCATATCCTTTAAAATAATAAGCAAAAATATCTTTTGCAGATCAAAAAACTTTTTATGGAGCAGTCAACACCTTATAAATAAGACAGTAAGTATAAATGTATTGGATTGCCCTGAAATTTTATTTTTCTTATTAATGCAAATTTTAACTTTACTTTTCCAATTAATTTTATTTTTCCTTTACATTTTATTCCATATACAAATTTTGTAATGTTTTTTCAATTAAAACTATATAGGATTTGAAAACTAAAATATAAACTAAGATTTTTTTTTAATGTTAAAAGAACTTTAAGATATTTTTATTTTTTCAAGGTTGAATACTCATAAATTAATATATGCAAAGTTATATGATAGTTTTGACTACCGCAGGTTGTGCTCAACTAAGATATTTACCAATTTATAAATTACATAACATAACATTTTATAAAGTAAAACCATTATAATGACATATCTAGCACAAAAACATTGCCTTGTTAAGTGATTTTTTTAAATACTAAAAAGTAAAAGTTACCTGGAAAGTGTAGTAACCTCTATGTGCAATTGAAGTAAAACGTCTTTGGTGCTGTGGCAGATACTGCAATTAAATTAAGAACATCAAAATATAATAATTTTAGCTAGCTAGTAGCTAGGGCCAACCCAAGCGAAGTAAGGGTGCGTTGCTAGTTACAGTTTGCTTTCCGATACAAAATTTCATCCCCATTTTCGCTCCCTTAATGGATGATGTCCGGGATAAAAAGTTTCTTATGTCCATCCCAGGGTCTCAAACTATCTTCTTACCAAACATTTAAATCGGTTCAGTAGATCTGGAGATTACCCCCACAAGCTCACAAACTCACAAACTCACAAACTTTGCCTCTTTATAATATAAATATTCATTTTTATAAGTAGGCAATAATTATTATAATATTATTAATAATAAATTTGACTCTCAATTTTGTGACACTCAATTTTGCTATGTATTGACTTACGCTTCAGTCACTCATAAAGAAGTTTTACTTTAATATAGTGTAAATATAATGCATACTCAAATGTTCACTATATTTTTAAACTGTACATCTCGTAGAAGAGGGCAGAGTACTAAATATTTTGTTCTTCATAACCATCACACCTCTATGAATAATAAACTTCATTTTAGTAAACACATTTTGAAATAAATGTAGTTATTGCTTCATGGAATGGTATTAATAACATGGTTCTTTTAACAACAATTAAATATAATTTAGATTTTTTACATGTTATAAATTCATACTGGATATCTCTTTATTAATATACTTTTTGTGAAAATATGGTCAGTGTTGTTTGCAATGGTATATTTTTCATATAAATGAAAATAAATAGTGATTGATAATTACTGAAAAGCAATTAAATAATATTTTGGTTTTTGTAGGCCATTTCGTCAAGCTGGCGGCCCTCCAGGATGCGGCTCGCGCGCCCTCGCTAGCTCCGCGCGCAACACGTCACGTCGCTACTATTACAGGTAACCTAATAAGAAAATATATTTGATCTTAACTAATGTTTTTGTAAAACTATTACAATATATATCTTGTTCAATCCTTCTGTTATCCATACAAGTAATATACTAAAATCTTAGATTTAGTTATTGAGTCTTTCTGTATAATAAGCCTCAGTAATAGCCTGGAATTATTGGGAAGTTGGCGGTGTTTCACCCCCGTGCCTCGGAGAGCACGTAAAGCCGTTGGTCCTGCGCCTTAACTCTCACCGGTCGTGTCGAGTAGTTGTCCCACTGGAGTATCAGAGTGACAGGAATAGAGAGTGTACTTGTGTCTGCGCGTACACTTGTGCACTATAATATCTCCTGCGCAGTTGGCTAGTCTCAACGAGATTGGCCGCCGTGGCCGGAATCTGTCAGGAGAACATTATCTATACATATAATAAAAGTGTAACTGATCGCTGTCTGTACATAGAAGATATTTGAGAAAAACTATTATTGGGGGCTTTATTTACGCAATAGAATCCAAAACAATGATTTTTAGAGTTTTTGTCTGTTTGTCGTTTTGTCTGTGCGTTTGTGCGCGCTAGTCTCAGAAACCGTTTAATCGATTTGGACGCGGTTTTCACTATTATACTGTGGTAAGCTTCACTTAACATTTAGTATTTGTTTTAATTCAATCGGTTTATAAATAAAAAAGTAACGTCAATTTAAAGAATCACCTAAGGACGAACCCGAGCGGAGCAAGGGTGAGTCGCTAGTTATTATTATTATTATTTAAAAGAAGTGAAAGTATAATATAGCATAGCGACGAATATCTGTGTAATTTATAGTTGAAACAAACACAGGAGAAAATGCAAAAATTATATTACAAGTGTTTTAGTTTTTAAGATAGTGATTCACCTGTATAATGCACCCTACAGTTACGTTTAAGCTTGACTGTGCTATCTTCAAATTACTTTAATTGTGAAGTATGATTCGCGACTCGCGTATCTTGCGCTGTTTATTGTTGAACGATTTTCGTGCATATTCGTTGTTCTAGCATAATGACGGTTAAGTTTTACCTTCGCCGAGTGTTTTTTGCCGGATTGCTGATAGAGTTTTTGACAAACAATAAGACGTGTATTTCTGAAATACCAAAGTAAACTTTTTTCTGAAATTTTTGTCCAAATAAATAACTGATTTACTTTATAAAATTCAGATAAATTTATTCAGCTTTTCTAAGTATGTGCTAGATTCACTTTATTATTCGTTTTCGTTAGTCACATTTAAACATGTAGTTTTTTCTTTAATCATAGCACATCAGTTATTAATTCTAAGAACAACAAGTGAAGCCCAACATTCAATATGAACTAAAGTACCCAGATGCTGTTACGTAACAAGTTCGCTTATTATACTAAAGATCACGAGGAAATGCCCGTCTCCGTCTTCAACTTCTTCAATTTTAACTTCCTTGACAAAAAACTTTCATTGGATTCATGTACATTGTGCAATAAAACATAAATAATATTTGTTTATATGACATATTAAGAGTAGTAATGTTCGATCATAATAGTGGTGTTATGGAATTAAAGACAATCAAAAATATTAACATATTTTGCCTTGACTGTTCTTCCTTTGAATAAGTTGCGTTTGAATGCGTGACTTATATGTGGTTAGTTCATAGTTGGTAAAACTGAGTTCGTCGTACACACACGTCATGTCTAAATTGATCATTAAAGCAATTTTGTAGTTTGGGAATTTATACGACAGAGTTTTTATTGTTCACTAGCGATTTTATTGTTCATTTCGCTCGGGTTCATCCCTAGGCGATTCTTTAAATTGACATAACTTTTGTTATTTATAAACCAATTGAAATAAAACAAATATAAAATGTTGAGTGAAGCTTATGACGATACATTAGTGAAAACCGCACCCAAATCGGTTAAGCCATTTCTGAGATCAACGCGCACAAACACAGACAAACAGACAAAAATTCTAAAAATCATTGTTTTGAGTTCTATTGCGATAATAAAGACCCCCAATAATAGTTTTTATCAAATATCTTCTATGTACAATCAATACACTTTTTATTTACAGCGATCAGTTACACTTTTATTATACGTATAGACTTCTTCCACATGATGAAATATAACTATAACAATTATTATGGTCAAAATGTTAAGTTGATATTATAGATCCCTTTTATATACAGTGCCTGTAGACCTTTGGCTAGACTTTTGGCAGTTTTATCGAACAAGCTTAATTCAGTTAATTTGAATACCTAGTACCCACCTATCTTTGGTACCTATCCATATTATTATCATCACAACAAAGGCGACGTAATTATGAAACTTATTACATTTACATAAGCACATTACATATCATGTAAATATTAGTTTTTTTTATTTGTGATGAACTAAAATTAGTTCGATTTGCTTAATAAATTAATTTATTCTTTAAAAATTAGGGTGCTACCAAGAATTAGGGTGACAGTCAAGAATATAGTCGATTTTGTTTAGTGTTTTGTAATTTATAGTCTTTGAAAGTAGGTACAGTAAGAAAAATGCACCAATTAATAATTTAATTATACCTATAACAATTTTTAACACGCTATGGTTTTAATAATAATTTTTAATATACAATTTAACACTAACATTTCTTAGAAAAAATAAAGCTAATAAAAATCTGAATAGAATAAGTATAATTATTTCAGATTTTTTTTGCTCAATTATTAGTTACATACATTATCATCCTTAGAAAATGTTCGCAATTAAATTATTTTACGGCATATTGTTTTATTAATCAGAAAATAGAACAAAGCTTATACGTTGACTTATTACCTACACAGTAGCTGTAATAATGCATTTTTCTTGATAATTTGCGCAGTTATTGTTTTATAATATAAATATTAAATTTTTTGTGCCGCCTTCAGTAATCAATTAGTAACAATTGTTGGCGGAAGAACTTTGTGCATTTGTTCGTTCAAAGTAAGCGATTTAGTTGAACTGTGTTTTTGCACTATTATTTTTTTTAACCATAATTTTTAGCTTTGTCGGTGTTTCATATAATATTTGCTTATTTATTTACTTTTTACATAACATAGTGATTTTTTCCCAATATATGAGTAGGTATATCGTTTCACGCCTGAACATTATTTAAAAAAGCCATGTTCAAAATAGTTCTAAATCCATCATAATTCAAGACAAGATCAATCGTCATCAAGTAATGAGTTTATTATAAGTGTAGGCGTATTGTACCTATGTTAGGTTTACCTTTTTTAAAACACTAACTTATTTACGCAAAGTGGATGGATCTTGGCCTTTGGCACTAGTTTCCGCCATTCTTTTCTATCCCCGAACAGCTTTCCGACAATCGAAATCGGCCCCTCGAAGCCGGCGTAACCATTATCGCTTAAATTATGAATTTATTCTTTCACTAGCGACTCACCCTCGTTCCGCTCGGGTTCGTCCCTAGTTATGTTTTACCGTTAAGTATAGATTTCTCAGAGATGAGATACTTTTCCGCGGTAAAGAGTATCCTATATGTTGATCCGGATAACCAGCTATCACCATACCAAATTTCATCAAAATCCCTCCAGTGGTTTTAACCGTGACGCGGTCACAGACAGACAGACAGATAATAATTCTGGAAACTATAGATTTGGCCACGGTATCGATAATAATGTCTATTTCAATAACATTTTCCAAAAAATATTTAATGTACGTTAAAAGATTCTGCCAAGTTACAATTTTATTATAATAATGTATAGATTAACCTTTAAATTACTAACACTACTATAAGTTACTTAAATAGTTCATAATTTAAAAACATAGAATTAACGAGTGCTGTATCTCCACCCATCCTTTGACTATCTCACCTAATGCCAAATAAGCTAAAAAGCCTATTTCATATTTGAAAATCTCTTAATTTAATATCTTTCCCCATTTTTTATCCTTCATCCGACGATAACTTTTTCTTTTCAGGGTTTGAAGGCTATTTTTTGCTCGCCCGAATGTTTATTTCTAATTAAAGCTAAAACCGACTTGACCGTACTTGAGATAGATACAAAGAGACAGTAATTTCTGTAATCTTTAAAAGCTATTTTGGGGTGGGACTCGTGCAAATAATGAACGTTAAAACTGACATTTTTTTTTAAATAGGTTAAAATAAATTATGGATACAGTAAAGATTTGAGTTGTTTACTAGCATGCAGATAAGGTGGCTCTGAGTTTAAGTATAGTTACTGTCTGCATGTTTTTTTGTCCGGAAATTTACATTTGGAATTGTGAAGTTAGCACTGTTTGTCACTTCCTTGGGCCTCGAAGAGTACGTAAAATCGTCGTTCTTTCACCTGATCTCTAGGCTAGGCGTGTTGAGTGGTCGACTCACCAGACTTAATGAGTGCATTTGTGTTAGCGCACGCACTTGCGCATTGTAATACGCAGATGGGTAGTAGTCCCAGCCAATCGATCAAAAAGTTGTTATATTTAAAAATATATTTAAAATTTAACGCAAGAAGTCATTTTGATAGAAAACAGAGCCGTTTTACACAAAATTTAGCCAAAAATGCATGGCTGAGTTTTGTTGATACAGCGCTAACTTTGCTACGTCACGTCGCGGGTTATTGGAATAAACCTTGGATTTAAAAAAAAACTCTAACAAAAAGTCCAATTACGTTCGGTCACATCATCTCTAAGGGCATCCAAGTTTAATAACTTAATGAAACTGATCACTAGATATTTATTTCAGGTAATATTCCATTAAGATTGGTATGATAATAATTAAATTGGTATACTATTATGTTCCACTATTGTTTTTAACATAGAAGTGACGAAAAAAATATCTTTACTTTAAGTTGCTACAAAGTACGCAAATAAGGCTTACGTGTAGGGGCTTATGAATGGGGTATAACGTATAATTTTGCGATTGGCGAGTTGCCAGCTGCTATTCCGGGCGGGCGGGCGCGAGCGCACACCCAGTCTCGCGCCGCGATTCCGCCGACAACTATCCTATCGGTTCACGCTTTACGGCCGCGTTTACCCTATTTCTTCTATGTATGTCCTAGTTGTGTATTGAGGTTTTCACGAGTTTACTTTATTCTTGACTGAAAGTTGTTTTGTTCGTATTTGCAGCACAATAGCTGACAATATTGATATTGCCGCATTCGTAGTGGTTTTCCAACTATGTAATATAGTTTTTCACTTGTATTGTGAATAGTTTTAACTAAATCATCAATAACAAATATTGGAAGAAGTAACAATGAAAGGTATAGAGTGAAACAAACTGTTTTGGCGTTGATTTTAATTTGAACATTAGTATCACATTGAAATTCATTTCAGTTATGATTATATTTTTCTCATATAATTCATATAATTATATGAGATACAACATGTTTGTATTACATAATATTCATATAAAAAGGAACGCTTTAAAGACTTTCAGTTAACATAATTGATTCGATATGAAACTAATAAGGTTTTTTTTAGTAAGCTGTTTATAAATTCATTTCAGTCCCGTCAACGCAAATGTCCTGTAAATGTGAATACTTACTAGGTAAAGAAAAAATAATCTTTTTAATTCCATTCCAAGGAAACTAATAGCTTACATAACAAAAGACCCGTGATTGTTTTTATGCACTATATGTTTCGTAATTTTGCTGCAATGATGAGAAATGCAACAAGCAACATTATCAGCAACGATTGTTTAAAAATGCCCTTCACTACACCTAATTCCTTAATAAGTCGAAATTAGACTACAAGAAAATAAAAAATGTTAAATATTAATAAAGGGATAGCGCAGTTCAGAGGTGACCTGTGTATGGAAGCGATGCCAACACATTGACGACATCCTTATTTTTATTAACGCTTTGACGAGTGCGTCGACCGTGCCGCCTCCACAAGTGAACTGTGCGTGTGGCCTCGGTATCATTTCTATTTGGCTTTGTCAGCTAATATAAAATTGTATTCCTATATCCGTTGTTGTATCTAATAAATCATTTCTATGATAGTTTAATTGGAATATTTCTGACTGATTTATTTAATAATTTAACAAAGTTTTTAAATATTCTTTTGTAGTCATACCATGTTTATTTTGAGACATAACGTTTGCTATTTGTCGCATCAGTTGACCCTAAATCATATGATTTGTCGAATGTTAGGTATATTTACTTAACAAACATTAGATAAGCATCGTCTTAAATCAATTTATTTGAACTTCATTATTCAATGTCTACTGTATTCATTATCGACTTTTATGACGTTATGCCCATTATCTAGTACATATCTAGATTATCACATAAACGATTATTAGGGGGAGTTGTGACAAGCGCACGTACACATAACTTGTCTACATCCGAGACAGACTTTGTTTGTGATATGTGAGATCCATAGACCTTTTGGTTCCTATTAAAATTTATGTGTCACGATACTATAATGAGCAAGGGGCGATCTCGCCTGCGCCGGCGCAACGATTTGCATGACAAACGCCAAGAATTGTTATTTACTTGGAAGGATGGTGAGTGGTTTTATTCTGATATTGCCGAAGTATTGATGATACTTATACTTTACTGACTAGCTCAGGTTAAAAGAATAAGATAGACGAAGCTTTAGACTAAAGGAAAGCCTCACGAAGCTGCTAGTGTTCTGAAAAAGATAATATTTTTATTTATATTTTTGTTTCCAATTAGATTTAAAAATTTATTAATTGATCATAACCCGAAACACTACTACAGAGTGCAGGCAAAATAAACGGATTCTACACAATTGGTAACACCGTTAAAATTGGTTTTACTTTTGTGTTACAGTAATGTGGCAATAAGATATTTGCAAAAACAATTTTAGCATTCTATTTTAAAAACTCTTACGAATGTAATCAATTTAGTAGAAAACGGAATAATGTGATAATTTATTTCAAATTGTTTAATTTGATCACGTCCTTCCTGTCTACCTTATTCTATCAGTTGTTTTAAGCTAGCTTCAAATACCTAAACATAGAACTAAAACGATAAGCTATTGAAATGTTTTAATTTTTAATAGGGTTTAGTAAACATTATGATACAAGAAGCTATTCATTTGATTAGTCGTATAATATTTAGCTTGTCGCTAACCTAATATAAAGTCATGTGATATCAGTTGTCTGATAATGGATATATAAATGTATGTGTAATTAAATATTTTAATCACTTTCGTTTTCTTAGATCTTAAATATTCTAAACTCAACATGGCAAAATATTAAATGTATTTTGATTAGAAAGTAGTCCATAATACGGTTTTCCAAGACTTCTAATAAACATTGTTAAAAACGGGCTCGTGTATCGGAAATTGGTATTGTTCCATTGGAAAAACAAAGTTTTTACTTCATACTTACATGGTTTATAAGATATCATACAGAAGTTTTCTTACTCTGATGAATATTTCCATCGTCTATCATGTGGGGAGGGGATTCTTTTTCAAATATAGATTGTATCTTTAATAAAACTATCTTTTCGGATTATTTCGTGGATTTATTTTGATTTTTGGTTCCCGACGTTTCGAATGATTTACAGCAATCATGGTCACGGGAGAGACTGAGGTTATAGACGTCTCAAAGGCGTTATACATTTGTTACAGGCACTGTCTGTCGCGAAATAATCCGAAAAGATAGTTTTATTTAAAACAACATTTAAAATGTCAAATATTAGCGTAAATCTAAGAAAGTATTATAGGTAGTATCTATTCTATGTTCTTATTCTTCCGGCCTAAGTATTTGTCCAAAGTTAAGTAAAAAACTAAAATTTTGTTTTAACCCAAACTAAGTACCAGTGTTAGTAAAAGCAAAATAGCAAATTTTAAGATAGAATATCATTGACTTACGATGTAGGAAATAATATTCTGCATATTTACAGAACATTTAGCAGTGCAACGTTACTCGTTAGTGTGCATTTCTATAGAGATAGCAAAATATGTTAATTTTCTACGTTGCTACATGTTAAGAATATCTATAATAATTATTGTAATAAAATAATTTTCATCATTTGTTGTTGTGGTCAGAATTTACCTTTGTGTCGGAGATCATGGGCTTATATTCGATTCAAGCAATTATATTATGTTAGTGACATAAATATTTTTAGTGTTTATGTCCAGTGCTGGACATACAATATAAGGTTTCCTAGCAGGAATGTTGCGTATAGGTATTATCATGCCGTTGTTTTCCACTTTTATCTCATTTCCTTAATTTGCTTAATGCAAGAGCAACTGTACGTGTGCTCCGGTAGATGGCGCGGTCAGCCGCCTGTAGGTACAGGGAGGGCGCAATATCGATTCTGTCTGCTCTGTATTTAATGCAGCGAGTACATAATACATACTCCCACAGTATATAGCCGGGTAGGTACTTCATAAAGTTGTAGACATCGCATTGCGCTCAAGTTCGATTCTCCAGTCACGACATTGCAAACCTACAGCTTTCTAACGATTACTTCGATCTTTATCAAAATTTTCCTACCTTACGAGAAAGTTTAATTTAAATAGAATGGTGGGGTAACAAAAATAAGTATTAGTAGGTACTTAAAGTAGAAGATATTTCGTTAGATGAAAAATATTATAACAACGAAAAATGCTTATGCTGATAAAATGGTTAGTTTTGACTTTTATGCCATTTTATTTTTTAAATAAATAAATAAGTTTTAAAACTGCTATTGAACTTAACTTTAAGTATAGATATTATATCTGATTCAATACTATTAATTATTATTGTCGACAGAGTTGTGCAATAGCGAGGAGGTGCCAGAGGTAGAGATCGTTAGTCTTCTTCAAGAACATATTCCAAAATATCGCCTTAGAGCTGACAGTCTCACACAATTTGGAGGTAACTTTTCCACAGCATATCTATTGTTTATTATTCTATTATACGTATAATTACATTTATATTGTTTATTTTTTTTATAGACATCAAATGCTTATGTCAACTATACATGTAATATTAATAATTTTTAAATCATTAGCATTTATTTTCAATGCGGAATCTAAAATTATACTCACATTTATTAGGATTATTATGAGATCAAGTCAGTAATAAAATTCTATAAACAAGTTGGTCAATAGTAATTACTAAGTATACATTATACAATATATATGTCATAGTCAAAGATCAACTCAGTCAGCTCAAATATTTGGCTCCTAGGCTAGAAAAGCCTAACTTGAAATACAAACTAATTAAGTATTTCGACATTTGAGTAACAATTCTTTAATTAATCCTAGACGAGAATCGACTAACTTGGATATTCAAACACAGATATATACTAATATTATAAAGAGGTAAAGTTTGTGAGCTTGTGACGTTCTAGAGGGTAATTTCTGGATCTACTGAACCGATTTAGATGAAACTTGATAGGGAGATAGTTCGAGACCCTAGAAAGGACATAGAATACTTTTTATCCCGAAAATCATCCCTTAAGGGGGTGAAAATGGGGATAAAAGTTTGAATGGGGAATCAAGCCATTCTCCATTCTAGGATTATTATAGTTAACAATAGTTAACGGAAAATGTTTCTTTATTGTAACTAAAGGTCATGCGATAAGATTTACATTAAATTAAGAAGCACTTTTTTATTACAATGACGTTGTATGACTGTGTGTTTAATATAACTTGTTTCAATCCTACTGTGTATAAAAAATAAGCTTTTTTTTCTTGTATTACGATTAATACATTTCAGTGTAGGTACTCTAAGGTTTCCTAATCGTAGTTTCCTCGTTGTACTCGGTTTTAGGATTTACTAGACCACGATTTTTTTTTACTTTGGACATTTGAATATATTAGGATTACGAACTCATCAGACCAAGACCGAAGTTAAAATCTATTCTTGAGTTTGTTGTTCCCAAAATAGTTGGTTAACTCTAATATAGATTAAATATTCCGCAGAAGAGAACATAATGTGTACTTTACCTTTGACTATATCATATATATTTAAGTAGGTATAAATTTAGATAGTCAAAGCAGTTTTATAATTTTTATCAGCTTCATTTTAAATTTAAAAGTAAAATTTTATTACAATTTTGTCTATATTTTGTAGCTGGCGTAAACCGTAAGTAACATTATTGTGTTTCAGTTAGATGTGTAAAAACTAAAAACCTATCAATTATAGATTTTGATACTGAGGACACATTAGTTATGAATTTCTTTTAGAAAATATTATATATAAAAAATCTACTGTAAGTAACAAGTGCTAGATGATTTTGATGTCATATTATTTGGATATTGAACTAACTGTAATGCACTATCGCTACCACATTTAAATTTCATATAGCTTAAGTCTTATAAATATTTAAGTATAGTTTATTATAGCTTAGTAATTTTTTAGGCATAACAAGCGTGTAAAGTGTCTGCAGTGAAGCGCATATGTTTTTTTTTAAATGTAAATTACAACGTTGTTTATGCTCTACTGGTTATTATAAAAGTTAGTGGTATTTTTAAATCTATTTATATAATAACTTCTACTTGTTTAAGAAATTCTTTACTACACCATTCAATTATCAACGCATTTTTTTATTATACATACATAAAAAGGAAAATATAAAGATCAGTTTATCTTTCAAGGTCTTGAAGATGAGCTTTTTATGTATCTACTATACGTTTATCCAAATAATTAATTTATATTGAGAGTAATTAGCGACACTTTGGTCTTACTCTTCATGCTAAAAAATCCTAACATTTTCATTATCCTATGGTAATTTCCTTCCACTTTTCCAATGCAAAAGGCTTGACGAGAAAAATGATAATTTGGTTGTGATATCACGCATATAGTCCTGCTTTCGTGTCAAACAGAAATACATAAATTTTAGGTTTTTTTAATTAGAAGTCAAATTATTGTAAGCCGACATTTTTGCTAAACCAATATCGCAGCCTGTATAATTTTATGTATAACAAGTAATACTCTTCATTGAAGATTGATTATAAAAAGTAAGAAATAAAAAAGAAGACATGCAAAATACACAGCATACCTTAATCCCATTTCTAGCTAACATAACTATATTTATGTATAACTAGCATTGCCCGCGGCTCCGCCCGCGTTCAAATGACCAAAAACCAAATTCTTAGGTTTTACATATAAAATAAAAAAGGTGCAATGTAAGAGTATACTAATAGTATATTCCTACAATGCAGCTTTATTATTTATTCTCAGAAATGAGATATATTCCCGCGGTAAAAAGTATCCTATATTTTGACGCGGATAACCAGCTATCACAATACCAAATTTCATCAAAGTCCCTCTAGTGATTTTTCTGTGCTGCGGTAACAGACAGACAGACAGACAGACAGACAAACAGACAGACAAAAATTCTAAAAACTATAGATTTGGTCTCTGTATCGATAATTATGTTTATTTCAATAAGATTTTCCAAAAAACATTTAATGTACAGATTCGGCTTAGTTACAATTTTATTATATGTATGGAATGTATATTATTGATAAATTTTAATTTAAACACATAAACGAAAAATGCTGTAATGACAAAATTTTTTGAAGACAATAGTAATTACACAATTCAATTGGCACGGCCTTCAGTGACGCAGGAAGATTTTACAAGCCCTAACCAGATCAACAGACAATGCGATGTATACTATCTATTATGAAAGAACGTGTAGAATTGTAGTATCATACTGTCTTGGTTTATCTTAACGAGGTCAAAATGCATTTTCTATTCTAGTACGTGTAAGTCTGTCTATGACCTACTATTTATCATGTATAATAGAAGAGAAATGGCATGGTAATACTGTTTTACCTATGAAGCACGTTCACTTCATGTTTTCACTTCATTGCCTACCTACAAACTTTCCTGACCAAATGACTTTTGGGTATTTCTCCGAGATTGCGTTCTTCGTCTGATTTATCTGTATTACCATATATTATTTAGCATGTCTTTAATCATAAGAGTATGTTGAATAGAGCCAAAAATGAAAATAATTTTTGGCCAGATAAATCAGACGAAGAACGCAATCTCGGAGAAATAACCTTTTACGATTTTCATGTTACTTAATTGATTTTTCTTTTGTAATTAGCTGTACAAGTTCATCAAAAAATTAATACAAATATACGTTTATCTAAAATAAGCGTATACGGTCTAAGTTGGTTTCCAATAATTTAGGATTCTAATTTTATTACATTGTATGTCATTACTCATTGGTAATTTTTTTTCTATACCACCACACACTAATACTGGATTTTGTGTGGCGTTTTTGCCTTACATAGATATGTAAACTGAATGGGCAATGCAATCTCTGATAATTAAACCATGCATTCCACTGCGACCATCAAGTCAAGATTGACCGTCAAGTGTTTTAATAATTTTGTCATTGTTTCAAATCGTTTCTAGATTTTATTTAAAAAAAAATTGCATAACGGAACAGACCAAAGACATTAAGAAATTAGAGCTATGCGGAATTAGCATTGAGTTCCTTCCCAATAACTGTGTAGCGTAGTTTCCGGCGCCAGCGTTGCGCCCAACGTCGCTATAAATAATGGTGTCTCATCGCACGAGTCATCGTCCGCTGACCAGCGCGCATTCCCGACCGGTCTCATGCGTGCTGTCCGTCAACTGGCTCCAAGTTCTGGTATGTCATACGCTGTCTGATGGTATGGCAACGTTCTAAGTACTGCAATTCTACATTCCCTGGCATTCATATCTTTAAATAGAAAATTGCAAGATAGGTGCTTGAATTAAATTTATTAGTTTAAAATTACAATATTATAATATCATGCTTTCCGTGTGCCTAATGGTTTGTTTATAAACTATGTTGAACACCAATTTTTATAGAATAGTAATTTCATAATTAACTCCTGTGCAAAATTTTGTACTTTTAATATCTATGTTAATATTGCACTACATAATTAATTCTGAAGATGATATAATAATAGAGACTAGGATAAGTAGAAAGAGAAATTGTAAATATTGTATAATACTAGATCCGGTTAAGAATCATGGTTTAAATATTGTGCACGGCTCGATTGGTTATTTTCACTTTTATTGGTCAGTTTGTAGTGACCCTACTTGCTGTGCCAGCGGTCACGGGTTCCAGTCCCGCTGGGGGCATTCATTTGTGTGATGAGCACGAATGTTTATACTCCAGTCATGGGTGTTTATATTTATAATATGTATGTATTTAAAGTTATATCAACTATCTGGTATCCATAACACAAGCCTCGTAGCTTACCATGGAACTAGATGGCGCTGTGTGTTAATATCCCAACATATTTATATTTATTATATTCATTAAAATGGTGCATTTAGGCTTCTCCCCTCTAAGTGCACCAGTACGCAGATTTTCATGAACCGATGCGTTAAGTTAGATTATCACAGTTATCTTCGTTTCGGTAAACCCTTACAAATGAGTTTGTACGTACTACGCTTACAAAGTGTATATTTATATTAATATATTATTATGTGTATTAATTAATACTTTCGTGTACAATTGACCTTTTACTTTGTCCAACAAGACTGTGGTGACGCATCCCGAGCATGCGTCAAGGCTCTTCGGAGGACCATCTACGGGTAGTTACTTGCAGTTTGTTTATTTTCGATTATTTTTCAATATTTACTACAATAGCTTTTTATATTTTTAAGCAATGTAATTGTTTCCTATTTACCTTAAGAATGAAATATATTGTTCTATGCCTTTAAATAATAGGTTTCCGTAAATGAAATATACTGTGAAAATATACATAATTTGATATTATGAAGAAACAATGTGAAGTTTTTGCCCAAAATTACTTTAAAATGAAATCTTAATAGAATATGTCCTGCTTAACCCAATTGTATGTAAGCTACACTCCACACTGAACATTATTTTTTTTTTCTTGGATTGGTGCTGTCGACCGCTCTGGTTTCATTAACACGATATTTTATGAACTAAGTATATATCAAATTGAGATTTTAGTATTCTCTCTATATATGTATACTCGTACAGTTGCTTGCTTTGACTGATTCGTCAGTGCTCAGATCTAATCGCTGGCTAGTTACTATTTTGAAAGCCTATTCCAATAATGATAGGTTTTATGCAATAGGTAAAAACCTAAATAAGTAAAAGAAGATGGCAAATTTATATAATGAAAAAGTGACCGGTTAAAAAAAGCGTTATTACCTTTAAAAAATATAAGCCATTGAAAAAAATACATATACCTACATATGTACCATTTAAAGAAAATTAAAGAATTGACAAAAACCAATTCATAATTTGCAAAGATAGCGCAGTAACGTGCATGTCACAGCATACAAAAATACAATTTTTACCTAGAGAATCAAGTAACTCTTTCTTTTTGAAGTCGGAATAGAACTCAAAAGTAAAAGCTAATCCCTTAAAATCGTAACATAGTAAGTAAGGGTAACTTCGTAACAGAAAGATAAAAATCTCATAATATAAGTGTTTCATGGCTCATTATAAAACATATACCAAGAAAATAATATTGATACCAATATATATATGTATTTCAGACAGCATTTTACAAGCTGTTGTAAGAATATGCAATATGTGCACATATTAATTTATTTATTCATGATCTTACTATTACCATACCGTAGAATGTCGTAGATTAAGTCACGTGATATCGGAAACGGGAACAAACTGGATTGAAAGTGGACGGGGAATGTTGTAGGTGTGATTCGGCGCTCCTCTGACGTAGCCGCCTCTTAATTTTCTAACAAATACAAACAATTATAAGTTTTTGATAGTTGGTGTTTTATTATTTCTTAAATTAAATAATCTACTGATAGATCAGTATGTGCATGGATTCAACGTATTGCACAAATGAGTGAACAAGGTTTGGCTAGAAATTTAATTAGAATTAGGTAGGTACATGTTATAAGATGCACACGAGCTAACTCTATTCATTTGTATGTATTGGATATCTAAATTGCCATTTGTTTTAACTTTTTACACGTATAAATTATTCATAGTGTAATATTTTTCAGGATACGAGAATCAAGATTGGTTTATCCCGTCGCCTGCGCTGCCTGTCAACCCAGAGGACCTAGCCCTGACGCCTGACCAGATCAGGGAGACGCTCAATTACTTTCGTAAGTAACTTACGTCTTAAATATTCAGACAACGTTTAGATCTCATTAACTTCCTCTTGTACTAATGTTTGTATGTACCCGTTTAATTTAAATAAGGCACCATGTTCTGTGGTATAAGTTGTTTAATTCAAATTAATTTGTTGTAATGTGTAAAATGTACATCCATTACAAAAAATAAACATGTGCTATTCTTGTCGTTCATAATATTATTTTTATTTTAAGGCCACACTTGTTTATCTCGTTGTTAAACTATGTTTAAGTTTTTGTTGAAACCTGTCGAAAAAAAGCTTGCTTTTTTAAATCTGTCTGCGTGTTTGGAGCCTCATCTTAGATTCCTACAATTTTGATAGGTGGCAATGCGTTTTTTAATAGAAAAATGTTAATTCTGTCTTCTACAATATTCTAAAATATTTCTCTCTAAGTTATATGTATTTGATGAAAATGAGACTTGGAGGTAAAGAATTCCTTTCCTGATTCATGTACTTTGCATTAAAACTGAGATTAATACTCTCTTAGATTTAGGCGAATATATGATATTTTAAATAAAATTATCTTTTTGGATTTTTTCGCAAATTTATTTAGATTTTTGAATCTCGGCGCGGTTGCGAAAGCTTTACAGATTACATGGTCTCGGAAGAGACTAAGGTTTTGACGTCTTAACGGTCAGGTTTCGATTGATGGCTGGATGGCGATGTTTTGGTTTCATTTGAGTAAGCTGAGTGTGTAATTTTGTGTCTTTCGTGATTAAAATTTATACTCGTAACCTTTATTTCTTATTCACAGTATTTATTTTGTATATTTAACAGCTATAAATAATGAATAAGTATATGTTTGGTTTTTTAATGTTGACGCTACTAAAATTTGCAAATAGTTATTTTTTTGTCGATTCATAATACCTCCACGACCGCGGACATGCCGGCGTTACAGTTAAGAATAGATATCTTAGAAATTTAATTAATTTCTTAGAAATTTACCTGGGGGTGTTTATTAAGGGTCATTAAATCGGATATTTTTTTTTCGTTTTTATAAAAGACGGTGATCATTTTGGGTACAGGGTACCTATATTAGTTTTAAAGTTTTTTATTCAATTTAACACAATTTGTGTTTTGAAATATGAAAAAATAATATTTGATTATTCTGAATAATTCACAAATAGTTATTAATAAACGTTTGTTATTCTGGGACTATGTTACACAATTTTTAGAGAACTTTTAATGAGATGACTTGAACACAGTCATGGACAATATGGGCAACTCTCGTATATAACTGAATTTTATAATAATGTTTGATGAATTTTCTTCAAAAGTATTAAAAAATACTATCATAACAGTATAAATATTTCTATTCTCGTAGATGTTTGTATAAATTTTCGGCAATGTGCATTATCACAATAATGACACCGTGACATAAAACAATAGAAAAATAACAGAAAATCACATGGTTATTGATAATAATGGAAATTATCTTCTCAAATGTTTTATTTTTAACGTGGGGTTTGTAGCAGAAGATGATAAGCAGATTTATTCAGTAAAATGTATTCAAAGACTGCGAGTTCAGCTTTATTAGGTATGGATAAATTATTAGGAAGGATGTGGATAAATTAGTCTCCGACTTATATTTTAATGAGAATTCAAGAACTTTCTAAATTTGATGGTTACTTTTATCTATTATAAAGTAAAAAGATTTTATAGCAGAAAATCATCTTAATGGATATAAACTATATTCTTTCTGCTAAAAAGAAATAGAATCTGGATATTCAGAAGTGCTTGGGTTGATAACTGACAAATCGATATATGTACGTAGTCGATTGAAGTCGCCATTTTGACTCGAAGTTGAGTAATATATTATATAGAAAATATATAAAAAAAATGTGAAATGGATGATTTAGTCCATTAGGATTAGATATTTATTAGATAAAATATAATTCTTTAGAAACATTGCATCATGAACGAATTAACCACAATTCGTCCATGCATTGCATTAACAATTTGTAAAATCTTATAGTTCTAGACATTAAATTCTGATGACAAATTTAACATTATAATAAACTTAGTCAAATTAAAACAGCGAAGTTGTGAAGGAATCATTTAATAGATAAGAATACTGTTCTGCGTAACGTTCGTTGCGGCAAGCGGCGTGCCAGTCTCGGCAGTGCGGCCAGAGCGCGTGCGCGGCGCCTCCGCACCAACACCAGTGACGGTCGCGCCGGTAGCCACGCGACACGCGTGCTCACCCTTTCGGCGATCAATACTGCGATTCGCGACACCCGCCAGCGCTCCGCGCACCTTCCCTTGTGCGACACGCCAATCGAGCTGCGCCGACCATCTCTACTTTTAGCGTACACAACGGTGCACCGCTGCATCGTTGCACTGGCTCATTTACCGCAACCGTCCTTTTATCCTAGTAATCTTGCGTTCCTGAACAGTTCCGTCGCGGTCGTGACCTCATTTGCTTGTAAAAATCGATTTGTGATAAAACACTAATATGTCTTACATAAGAAACACCGGTCTCTTTAGCGCTAGCAGAATTCAGTAGAATATTTCTGTGTTAACCATTTCAAATTTATTGATTAGTGTTAATGAAAGGGTACTTTCAATAAGTTATAAATTTAGCATCGCTTCCAAGTCTGCGTGTCATCGATTGAGGTGTGTTCGGGAACGGGGAGAACGCGTTGGACGGCGCCCCGCACCGCGCTCCAGCTGTGGGCCATCGTCAAACTATTCGTTATCTTGACCGTGAGAGCATAACTATGATGTTCTTTGCTATCTATTTACATATTTTTAATATGATATAGTTACTATATATTTAATTATTTATAAAAATATGAACGAGTTATAACAGATGCCAGTAATTATTGCTATATTTAGATACAGGTATTATAGGTAGATAGCGATGATTGAACTGTAATGTGGTTAGTGTTATTTAATCAGAACCTATCAGGGTGTAAAAAGTTTGGAATTTATATTCTACTATGAAAAGATTTGTTATAAATGGTTAGTGTATAGATTTTTTTAATTAAAAATAAAATTATGATAAATAATATTTTATTAATACATTATTAAAAAGATTCAACTCATTCTTCTTTTCATGTAACTGCGTCATTATAGTAGGTATAGTTATCTTTTTATCTTAAAGATGCCCATTTAATGATTATTTAAAAATGAATCACAAATGTTTATAATTCAAAAAAAAAAAATGGATTTGTACTTTCAGCGACATCTCAATGTTCCTATATGATTATTTTATACAACTGTGGATTTGTTCTCTTTTTAATTAAATCTAATTGCACGACGCAACGTGGGTTTTATAACACTAATAATTGTGAAGCCTATCCAAGCAATATTACGCATGCCTTTTATTAATGCAAAATCGTATTTGCCCCACTAGAATTATGTATAAGTTCAGACTACAGTATCATGCCGTTATATTTAGAATAGCTTACAACATAAGGTCGATAATTGTTTGTATTGAACACTTATGTCAGTAAGAAAACTAACAGTGTACACTGTCCAGTAACTACATTTTGTAGTGACGCCGACGACTAACTAGTGATTGTGCGGTGGCGGACGGAAATGGACGTCGTCACATCGACCCGTTGAAATTGTTCCGCGTACCCGTGGTTGTGACTTAATCGCGTGTTCCATTCTATTCATATACAGATGCTTGCATTTGATCGTGAAAGTTTTTTAACATTGGCCTAAAATGCTGAAACCGTTAGTAGATGAAATCACATAATTTTAATTAATTATTAGGATAAATTTCTTTGTGAGAAGTATAATTATTTAAATATAGACAGCATTATATATTTACTTAGATTTTTTTTTGTTAAATATATATCTAATTTACATAAATTTTAACAATTATAACTTTTTATGTGTATATACTATGTTTGAATATATTTATGATTTCGTTTCTTATTATTAAAATTTAGAATAAAGTAAATAAAATAAATATATTAATGATATATTTAGTTTACATTAAAGCAGTGAATATTTAAATTAGGAGAAAGAAAGTAGTAACATTTCAAAAATGAATAAAATTAGGTACCGTAAAGTTAAAAATATATATATAGAGTGAGTTAAATATTTAACCTAAAATATTGACATTTACTAAGTTTTATATAGAAAAAACTATATATGTAAAAGAATTAATCAGTATTTAAAAATGAATGAATCATGCTTTTCTTACTTTGAATAAATTAAGTTTAAAATAGTAAGCACATAGCATATGTATGTGGGTATTACAGTAGAGCTACAACAATCTTTTGGGCAAATGGTCTTTTATTGCATTGTGTTTATAAAGTACATTTAATTCGATGACCAAAAACAATGTCCAATTAAAAATAAATAAATTTCTTTCAAAACGTATATTTTTTGCTACTGACACAAGGCTGTTTTACGTCAGAGCTTTATCACGTGCAAGGCGACCTTTATGGCGCTCCCACATTTGCTCAGTAGTGGTTTGCAATTCGAAAAAGAGAAAATGTTTTACCTTATGCGAGTACTGATGTATATATAAATATAAATTATTGCAAAAGTCTATATTGAACTTTTCATATTAGGTACTACTTTTCATTACAAGTCTTAAGTACTGCTTACAGCTGCTGTATTGTATACATATATTACTAGTACCGCAGAATGAATGGTAGCAAATTGACGTTATTTAAATACATATAATAAAATTGTAACTAAGCCAAATCTGTACATTAAATATTTTTCGGAAAATCTTATTGAAATAGACATTATTATCGATACAGAGGCCGAATCTATAGTTTTTAGAATTTTTGTATGTCTGTCTGTCTATTACCGCATCACGGAAAAACCACTGGAGGGATTTTGATGAAGTTTGGTATATTGATAGCTAGTTATCCGGGTCAACATATAGGATACTTTTTACCGTGGGAAAATATCTCATTTCTGAGAAAAAATAGAAAAACTGCAATGTAAGATTATACTAATATGTAAAACCTAAGAATTTGGTTTTTGGTCATCTGAACGCGGGCGGAGCCGCGGGCAATGATAGTAATTTGAATAAAATCTCAAAGTCGTTATAAAATGGTTCAAGGATTATCGTTCTCATTCACTTACCTTTGCTTTATGTACATTTCTTCTAACCCTGAAAATAAGTAGTTTATATAAATAAACTGCTTTTACGAGGCAAACCATACATTAAAGTCGAGTTTTGTTATTACTGATAATGTTAAAACTGCTGTAAAATATCAAAATTTATATAACCATAATTAGTCATAGCTGTCTAGTAAATGATAAACTAATCATTATTTTTGTTCTAACAGTAGAGTGGATATAAAACATTATCATAAACACTTATTATAAGCATTCTTTTGTATAGTAGGTAGACAATAGCTCCACTGTTTTCCTTTTCATATTACCTATTTCTTTCGAAAATGCGAATATCAGTAAATATTCTAAGTATTTGTGCTATTTACTGAGGCATTTATTTTCTATTTAATGTAAAATTATAAATATTTCTTCTTCGTTAACACTATTCGAATTACTTGGAAAATAAACATATCTTAGTCTCCCATTAACTTTCTATGAATTATTAATTTGACTTTCCTGAAGATGTTTTATTATCTCGTCGTTGCAAAGCAGTCAATTCTTTGTAATTTACATAAAAAATAACTCAAAACAAAGAATTGAATTGTATTAAATAATATTGTGTTGAACGCAAATTAATCGTAACTAGGCATTATGAGTGTCGATAGATATTTGTTTTTATTTTAGGGTTGTGTAATTATGAAATCACAGACTAATCAAAGAATATTACGGAGTCGGATACAATATAAATGAAACTTGTGCAATATTGAATGTAAGTGGATAAATGAAGTGATATACAAGTGTGTGGCGGTCTGAAGAAAATCTTCGCCGGCGTGAGGCGGGCGGAGCCGATGTTCGCGGCTCAGGCGCGTCACGGCGGAGGGCGGTGCGGCCACGGGCGCGGGGTGCGCGGGAGGCTCGCGCGCCTCGCCGCCGCCCGGCTTCGATCGCGAGCTCTTCCAAGAGTTGAGCTTCCTATCCGACGCGGAACTCCAAGAGTGTCTCGGCGAGTATCCTGACTTCCTGTACCATCTGGCTCGGGACAGGTTCGGCCGACTCTACTTTCGCGTTATACGGACTTTACTCCTTGACCGAGGTACAGCAATGATCCTCCGACATTAACTTCTGAACACTTCATCATCCTCTCTCATCAAGTTTTGAATGTCGTCTGTCCTAATCATCATGTTTTCTTTTGCTTTGCACTTATAGCGAATTTTGATTTTTTTTTGTCTTTCGCTTATATATAACAAAAGAACTTTCTTCTGCTTTCAGTGGAATAAAAATAATTAAAGTACACTTATCGGTGATGGACACTTGTTCTTATTTTCGTGGACATCTTCATAATTGAAGAAAATATTTTTATTTATCATCATATCCACATAGCTGTGCACTTGGCATGCTTCTGTTAAAATGTTCTTCCTCTAGCCTGAATCGGCGGTGGATTTAGATAAATAAACTATTTAAAAGCACGTATATTCCTTATAATGCAAATTTTTTATAAATTTAAATTAAACACAAACTACTGCAACAGAACAAATAAATGAAGCGTCATTTATAAATGTCTTTCGTCTGTATTGTGATGATATACACTGATATATTTTGCAACAAGAGGGGATAAACAATGGCATATTATGTGCGGAAGTCGAATTAAAATTATGAAAGTTTATTACTACTTAAAGTGTAACTGTGTATAGAATCAATATCCGTAGTAATCGCAGCTCATTTGAGTTGGTTGTGAGTGGGAACAAAATACATAAGCATTGAATGCGTCTATTATTGATCGCTTTTCTCACTGATAGTTTTTACTTTAATAGAAAGCAATGTTGTAAGATGCGACTGATTTTAATTACAGTTTGTAAAGAAACAATGGTTTATATACATATGTGTATTTCTTATTATTACACATTATATTACAAAGCTATTGTTACGTGATGTAATCTACTCACATTGAGTATATTGCTCTTGTACATTTAGAGCCTGCCAAACTTATAAATACTTCTTGTGACTCATATTAACTAACACATCTATGTGCTTATAACATCTGCTTTGATATATTAATTACTTGAACCGTTTATTTAATCCCTCCACGACCGCGGACACGCCGGCGTTACAGTTAACAATAGATTTCTTAGAAATTTAATTAATTTCTTAGAAATTTACCTGGAGGTGTTAAGAAGACTTGTGTTTTCATCGTAAATATGTGAAATTGTAACTATTCTCAAGTCAAACGGTTCCAATAATTACTAAAATTATCCACAATTTACTAATTATTGGCTGTTTAGACTGAAAACTTTGTGAATGTTATGTTGTGAATATGGTTATTGGTGGCATTATTAATAAGACATCAAAATAATGAAATGTAAGAACACTAAAAAAAAGCTCTAGTGAATAAAACCGTTAATCGGTCTTTTGTCAGAGTGTGTAAAGCCTCTTTACAAGCTAGTTTTCTTATGTTACACAATAGAGTATAGTTTATTTTACCTGTCCTCTGAAGTCTGAGCCCGGTGCACGTTCTTTAAGTACGCAGTCACTAACTCGAGCGGTCGGTGCACGCTAGTGTTGGAAGGCACGCATTTTTTTTGATGTGACACCTGTATTGTTCAATTCTTATACTAACCAGTGTTGTATCAACTGTTTAAAGTATGTATTTTTGAGAATTCCATGAACGCTTTCACAGCAGATATTGAAGATAATATTTTTGCTGGTCAGTCAGTGCTCGTAAATATTTAATATACTCAATTAGTATCGATAATTAATAAATGTATGTCTAGTAGATACAGAAAATATCTTATCTTTCACTTGAATCGGCCGCCCATTGAAAAATTCTTAGTTATATTGGTTTCATAATACCTATAATTGTGAATCTTTTTGAAATTGTTTGCTTGCTATGTCGTGTTCGGAATTGTTTCATTGTGTTCAGAATTCGTTAGAAATATGTGGTAAATATTTAAGATAATAAATGTTATTAATAAGATTGTTATCAATATTTTAAATTTTCGTGAGATTAAATACCTACCTAGTAAGTAACTAATTAAATACCTATTGTTTTTTTTATATTCATATAATAATAATTAGTTAATATAGTAAAAGGTAAAATAATTAAAAAATATTAATATTGTTTAGTTATTCATTGTTAAAATGTTAAAATGACATTTACCCAAGTACTTAAGACATTTTAATAAAACTGGTAATATATATTTATACATAAAATATACACACAAACCTGTTAAATACTGTGACCATCTCACGCTTATTCCTCCCAAAATGGTGATAAACTTTGTTGTTTGTGAAGCATAGCTTGAAAAATTATTTTAAATCAATATTTTGGAAAAAATTGAATGTCTTCTGTATGGATGGATCACCTCCTTATGTGCCTCTTCGTTATTTGGCAGGGTAGGTAGAAGGAACGTAGTCTCGTTTGCTTCTTCGCTTTTATACGTGAACCCAAAAATTATTACAATTATCACAACGATCAAAATTGTTCGATCGGGATATTTTTGTATTTTTGTTCAGATAAAAAAGTCAATATGGTATCTCTCTCTTAAATTAGGAGGAAAAACATACGTTGAAAATTAAAAGATTATTAATCCACTAGTTTTTATAGGTAGCCCATATTAAGTACCTATTACGTCTCAAAAACCATAATACCTATATAATAATATGACTTATTATTTTAATTTATTTTCACGGTATTAACATAAGCACAATTAAACATACAAGTTCGCTCAATCGATCGATCATCAAGATGCAGTGTGATGTCTGCCTTGCATTGTCCAAGTCAAATGTCGCAGGGATGATATGACCACATCACTATTTAGTTCTTAGTTTTCTCTACACGCAATATTTCGATTTAGATGCGAACACGGCGTGAATACAAATAAGAATGAGTATAAGGATGTTTACGTAAATAAATCGTACTATGGTTTACTTATATTTGTATATGAATATTTAAATATATTATTTTCTTTATTAAACTAAAATTTTATTTTTCCAGTTCTATGCAGCAACAGGGTGAGCCAAATGACAAAAACCTACAATGACATCGAAGCGGTAACACGGCTCTTAGAAGAAGTAAGATATCCTTCTCATTTGTTATTGTTAAATAATACTATTAATAATTTTTATGTTTTGAAATTAACAAGATAATGGCAGATAATCTATAATACTTACCCAATGCTTTGATTCTCTTTTAAAATAATTCTTTATAAGTTCAGACTAACTAAACTATTTAATGTTATATGTTAACCAGTTAAGAAATAATCTTGTTTGTAAGCGCATTAGAGTTATTAGGCATGCAGATTACATAAATTAAGAAATATAATTGTCATGATCAAATAGTAGGTTGCTTTATTTATTAATTGCTGTTTTATAGATTTTTTAAGAAATTTGTATCATTAATTTGTGTAAACTATCAAATTTGAAAATTAGATGTGCTACACATTTAATATTGTTAAGTACAATATGAAACACTATATGAAGCTGGTCAATAGTTTAGTTATTTGTTGTTAGAAAGAAAAAGATTTAGAGCTGACGGCGCGTATCGGCAAAGAGCTATTGGCGGCGAACGGACGACTCGAGTCTCGAGTGACGGCGCTCGAGGGCGAGCTTCGCGGAACGCGCGACCATATCACTCAGCTGCGACACGAGCTCAGCGCCAAGAGTGATCTGCTGCAGGTTTGTCTAAACAGCACTCTTCTTTTGATTAGTTACGATTATGACATATCCTGTGATGTATTGAAAGAGCTTAGAGGAGCCTTTTACTGATAACTTGACAAAAAAAAAACTATTTCTAGCAGTTATTGCTTTTTGTACATCAAATTGCAAAGCGGTCTCTTTTTAAACAGCAGCAGTCATATCACAAAAATTGAATTGAAAAAATTATAAATACTTTTGATATATACCTATTTGTAAAATATTAATTACGTAGTGAACGTTTTATGCCTGCAGTTGAATGTATAATGGTATATAATCCTTGTCTAAAAATATTAATGATCAAGCAATCTTATTCATAATATGACTTAACGACACAACGTCTCATCGACTTTTTCGTGCCTACCATTATGTACTTACAGTTTATGTTTTAAGATATAAGTTATAATGTATTTTTAATTGTTTTCCAAACTGTTTTTTTACGAGACCAGGCTAACGAATATGCCTCAAAACAAGCTTTGTTTTATGGGTATCGGGATCGATTTTGCCAAATCCGGTATTCTAGGCAGTATCAGTTATAAGTACACAATAACATTTTTTAGGTTGGGAAATTCATTTACGCATACCACCTGTAGAGATACAGTTGGTTATGTGGGACTCACCGGCTCGAAAAGCCAGTACTACCCACTAAAACCCAACAAAACCTTCCCTGTCTTAATGGGGCGTCGTAGGATCGCTTACGCATTCAACTACGACGCCCCGTCGTTAGATCTGCCGAAGTGGACCACAATAACCATGGGGTTGCTCCACAGTCTACTCTGTTGGCAGAGAAGTACCAGGAGCAACCCGCATGGTACACCCGCCCACCGAAGTGGGCCTCCTCCCTGTGCGTTCCTTAGCTTTGCGAACACGATACATGTACAAAAATACATAATACCTTTACTACCAATATAATTCTATATCGTAGGTAATCTATTTCTTAAATCGTCACTATTATCAATTATCTTGAATAATATGTGTGGTATTTATGTTAATCATTTAAATATTTACTTATATTATAAATTTCATTTCGCTTTTCGTGATAATAAAATTTCATTCGTAGCTGCATTATAAAATTTCGTAAAGAGTAATCTGAATAATTTTATAAAACATGAGAACTTTTTTCCTTATAGTTCTTTTTAAGGTCTTATAGTTATTCCTTATAGTAGTTCTTGAACATGACACGAAAGAGCTAATTATAAGTTTTTTATTTTATTTTTGGAAATGCATTTACGCATGCCTTAAAGACGGGTGCCTAGCGCAGGTGGTATTCTGTGACTCACCGACTAGTACTCGAAAGTTAAAATCTATGGAACACGCCTTCTAAGCACTATAAATGGGCCACATTGATATGAATCAAACGAGCCCAAACTCAAAAGTCTTTTCTAGTAGCAATTGAAGACCTTATCCACTTACTGGCTCCATTATCATGTCTGCCTAATGGTATCAAATTATTGTATTGATATCGGTATTTCTCATAAAAGTTTTATAATGATTCAATAATTAGGTATATGAAAGTCGACTTCCAAGATTTGATAACACAATTAAGCACACCTTATAAACCCAACACCGCAGCTCGTTAAAGTACTCTAAAAGCTCATAGAAGCTGGTACAATAAGAAGAATGAAGATTCTTCAAATAGGCAGCGGCGATTATGTATAATAACGTTTTACAGATTTTAACCAATGACACAGAAGAGGGTTCACCCACAGAGGAGCAGGAGGCGGCGACGGCGGCAGCTCTGAAGCGACGCACTGGCGCCCTGGAGCGGGAGAACCGTGCGCTCAGGGAGGAGGCCTCGCGCCTCGCCGCCGGCGCGGACTCCGCCGAGCAGGCTGAGCGGCAGTTGCTCAGAGATATCGCTGCTCAGTTATGTGAGTTACTTATACTATCTACAATTATACTAGTGACTTAATCTCGCTTAGCGTCCCTATGTGTATTTTTGCAGCGTTTATTTTACAGCTTGATTTAAACCGTCATGCGGCGCGCGCCGATGAAGCAATTTACCGGCCAGTTTTTTCCAACTTTCGAAGATATTATGATTTCTGACAGTAATCATATTTTTATCGGAGTATAAAATAGTCTATAGCGCTCACTGTTTCATAGTTTACCCCCCTAAATACAAACTTACAAACTTTACCTCTTTATAATATTAGTGTAGGTTACAAGCAGACTAGATTGATCTTTGCATGCTGTTTCCGCAAATCATCATTACCAGCCTGTTGGCTTCCACTGCTGAGCAAAGTCCTTTCCTTGTATACACCACAGAACTCAATCTTTAGCTCTACGCATACAGAAATTGAAAAATAATTATTTAATGTAATAGATAAACTTGATTAATTTTAAGTAGATCAAGAAGTTGTTGTTTAACAACGCCGATTCTTTGTTATAATGAGATTTGAGAAGAAATACTACGGAAAAAGGTAATATAAAAGAGCACTCTAACTATTATAATATAGCAAAATGTAAATGTAAGGAATTTTATAAGGTCGCGCTGCTGCATTGGCTTTATATTTGGCGTGCTCTATATTTAAATAAAATTTTAATAATTAAGTTAGTATATAAGAATTATAACACTTCAAAATAATTAATTATAAGTGTTTAATACCAAGTCTATATTACTCTTAATTTTATAATAGTACTTAAATAGGATGAGTAGACAAATTGAAAAAAAGAACAAAGGTGTATGTTAACATGCGTTAAATTGGGCACCTGCTTATTTTGAATGTTCTGGTGTAATGAAAAGGTATTATTTTTTATAAAAACTTGGCAGTTTGGAATGTAACAGTTACCTTTTACTTGACATTTATTACGACCTTGAACCATAGTTGGGCTTCATTTAATGGTCAATTCAAAAGAACATTTGTTTCACCATATATGACTTTAGAATATTTATATATTGACAATATCTATTATTTGTAAGCACATTATAAGGCATTTATTATAACTGAAAGTAAACTGTTTGAAAGTAGTACCTACATTTGTGAATTGCTGTTTTTTTATAGGCCAACTCGTAAAGGTTGCCATATGAACGTAAAAAATCAAGCATTATGGTTGTAATCATTTATGTATAACTATTTTAGTGAGTTGCTATTTTTAATTATTCATAATACTTCAGTATTTATTGCCTTTTTTGTGTACGGTTTTTAGTGCAGACTGAAATATACATTGTCAATCTTTACATTCTAACATTTAGAATTTTACATTAAGAAGATGATGATGATGATTTACAATTTATTCTATAATAAATGAAATGAAGATCAGCTGTATTTTTAGGCACAGTATTGAAGTTTCACCTATTGAATATAATAATTATAATTTTTGATAAAGAAAATAAAATAACACAATTTTAGTTTGTTGTTATAAAATACTAATATAACCTAAATTCGTCGTTGGTAAGTAAATGAGCACGAAGCTATACATAATTCCTATAACATTATATATAAGCTTCTAATCAGTAAAACGTGATAACGAAAAATTATCTGCTATTGTTTGTTTGTATTGAAATTAACATGACATGTACATATTTGTATGATATGATTTCTGATGAAATAGGTATTTTTCATTTATTTTTCACAGGACGATAGAATAAAATTATGGGTTTTGGCGGAACAAGGTGGCCTAGCAGTGTGTTTTCTCTAAGTTTTGCACCCTGTCAGACCATACTTGTTCTAACATACCCACTATCATCTGGAGGGTTCGTGAAGAAATTGAGTATTAATTTTAATAATTTTCAATTAATTTATGACATTTCAAATTAAGAGTACATCCTGATGATTTGATCTGATATAATTATGATTTATATGTATTCAAAAAGCATCATTATTATTATATTAGTACTTATCAATCAGATCTTATAGAAATAGTCACTAACATACATATAGTAAACTCCTATTAAAATGAGTCCAGGTTTTAAAGAAATAGACCAAAAATATAAAAGTTGTTTTATTTCGAACATTCTTCATTGTAGATAAGTGGTATTGGAAAAACCTATATTGATTGGTTATTAATTTCTAATAAATGGTAACATTTTTGGCTGCGAGCCGAAACGTGGGAGTGATTTAAATTGTATAGAAAGTAGATATAAGAAACTGGAAGTGTGTATATCGCTAAAAATAAGTTTACTTATAAGTTTTTATAGTTTAGTAAATCGATTATTATATATACCAGCTATCTATCTGTACATAATTCAGCCGCAACAGAAAAGAAGAATGTGTGTGGGATAGAGAAAATTTGATTAATGATTATGAAATAATATAAGTTTGGAAAAATTTCTAAAGTTGATTGAGACGATGATTATATAATGTGTACTTATCGTCTCAATCATCTTTAGAAATAATACACTCTACGTACCTCAAAGGAGAGGGCGAATGTGGTATGGTAAATTTTCTGGTTAAATTGACTTGAAATGTGATATTTATAAAGATATTTTATAATTTATATACTTTTAGTGAAATCAAAATGCTGTGGTTTAATAATTTCTATTATATTATTTAACAATTATTTGCAAGATTAATGTATGAGATATATAATTTTCTTTATATATTTTTATTATATATTTTGTCGCTAGCGAGTGCAAACTCAGAAGCAAATGTATTGGGAGCGGAGCTCTCGGAGGAGCGGCAGCGCGCGTCGGACCTGCAGCATCAGCTCGATAGCGCCAATGCTAGACTCACGGTCACCGAGAGGAACTTACAGCAGGTAAACTAATACAGGGACAATATTATAATATATTTAAAGTAGGCGTTAATTTTGAAATCCTAAAGAATATAAAATAGATAAAATGTTCAAAGTATTCATTCACGGGATGGCATCATGACTTGAATTTTGAAAAATTAATTGTTCTGTGTTTTTTTACAAAATAAACACGTGACTGTACCTGTAGTACTCGTATCTATCGTTTTAGGATTATACTCATGTGTATTACTAAAAACATGACTTCAAAGATTTTCCAACCTTTTTTTCAGAAATTATAATATTACCATATAAACCTTACACCACTCGCAAAATGCTGTGGCATAATAGGTGTAGGTATATAAAATAATTAATGATAATCTCTCATGCACGTTGTCTTAAGGCAGGTAAAATAAAATTGTCGCTATAAAATACATAGGTATATTTAAGTTTAACATGTCCACGCTAAACGAATAAAGTTAAGCATCTACAATAATAATATACATATTTAGTTACTAGTTATGTTTTAACGTTTAGTATAGATTTCTCAGAAATGAGATTTTCTCGCAGTAAAAAAGTCCGGGTCGATATATAGGACATATATCGACCCGGATACCCAACTATCATAATACCAAATGTCATCAAATTTGTCCAGTGGTTTTCTCGTGATGCGAACAGAAAACAGGCAAAAATTTAAAAAACCACAGATTCGGCCTCTGTATCGATAAAAATGACAATTTAAAAAGGATTGGCCAAAAATTTTTAATGTACAGATTCAACTCAATTAGAATTTCATTATATGTATAGATTATATTTTAATACAAAATTCTTTAACTAGATAAATAAAACGTTTTAATCGCATATCTACTTCGTGGTTATTTGACAGATGCAATGAGTCATAATTGGACTACCTATATGCAATAATAATAAAATTCTTACTTTATATTTTTTTTTGTCAAACATTTTATATAGAACTAGCATTACCCGCGGTTCCGCCCGCGTTCAGATGACCAAAAACCAACTTTTTAGGTTTTACATATTAGTATACTCTTACATTGCAGTTTTTGTATTTTTTCTCAGAAATGAGATATTTTCCCGCGGTAAAAAGTATTCTATATGTTGACCCGGATAACCAGCTTCTTATCTTCATACCAAATTTTCTTTAAAATCCCTCCAGTGGTTTTTCTGTGATGCGGTAACAGACAGAAATTCTAAAAACTATAGATTCGGCCTCTGTATCAATAATAATGTTTGTTTCAATAAGATTTTTTAAAAATATTTAATGTATAGATTGGGCTTAGTTACAATTTTATTATAATATGTATAGATTTATCAGATTTATTTGCATAAATTTGATTATTATCTATATTATTTTTGATTGAACTCCTTAGTCTACGTTATAATCGTTATGAAATTTCAAATTGTATTAGCTAAGACTAATGCAATTGTCGATCACACTATATTATTTATAACTTCCTCTATGAGGTGTGCTGAAGTTAATAAAACGTGTTTTAATTAGAGCAACTTATGCATGCAGTCTCACACTAGAGTGTGATAAGATATAATTATTTGGTTGAAGACTTTCTTGTCTGCACTCAAAGGAACATGGTAGTTATGAAAGGACTTACGTTACGTAATCGTATTTATTAATAACTTTAGTGTAAATTACTAAAATAATATATTTTTTTACACGGTTGCCTATTTGTATGGAGAATAACTTGTTTATGACGACAGCTAGTGACCTAAAAACAAAACGTATGTTTGTTATTATTAAAAGTCGATGACAGGCCAGTTGCCAATTCTAAATGTATTTTTTTTGGCTTTTCTAGTTTTTCTAAAGTCACATGCTAATTATAACTTTTTTTTGTTTCAGTTGACAGCTGAACACGAACATACGCTACGAGTTTTAGAAATCACTAAAGATAACCAAAATGCTCTCGCTGCAGAGTTGGCCGATGCGAAGGTATGCAAATATAAAATTTAATAACATAATAATCTGATTTGCTGACTTAGCTAAATTCAAATGAGTATTACCAGAAAAATACGTAAGCTTAAAGGAAAATAATTTTCCTCTAACTAAAAAAAAATTGCCTTTTTAAGGAAGTTCTTGAGAAATATGATTTTAACCTTGAATCTATGCTTATATTTAATGAAGTGTAAATCTCATTATGAAATAAATTTTTGCTTAAGTATTTTTCTTTTGGAAATTTAACGCGCTTTACAATACTTTGAAACTAACTTTAATGCAATAGCGCTTGGCAATTGTGCATAATTATATTTGTGTACTATGTTATAAAAATTCTATTGTCTTTCTTATTAACTTTTTAGGTGTTCCATGTCTCACGTTAATAACTTAATTATGAAGAATGTGTGTTTCTTCATTTTGTTGTAATCACGCTTAATTAGGTATTACCGGAATACTTCTTGTAATTAAAATTTCAGTTAGTGTTCATGTGAACATTTTATGTATAGAATAGTATTATCAACATTTTCCTAGATGAATATATTTATAATATGGTTACATAATACATGCAGTGTAATAAATATTGACTACTTAAATCTATTATGCAAGCAAAATATAATAAAAATATCTAATTTTTGAAAGTAGATGGTACTTAGAATTTACATGTACCATGCGAGTGGAGTCACCGGCATAAACTAGTTGTCTCAAGTACAATGTATTTTTTTATTATTGTTTTCGTATTATAAGTTATTACTTTCCTTCTTTGAATTGCTTGTGCGAATAGCATTATCACACGGTTAACGAGTTCAATACTTTCGGGCTATTATGTACAACGGTCTAGTGTGAAAAATATGCAGTATAAATTTACTAAAGGATAAATTAATTATCAGATTTTTTTCAATTTTTTTTCTATAACTTTAAACTGTTCTATTATTTCTTTTCTTTAAAACATCAATGAAAATTTATAAAACGCCATCTATTATTTTTTTAAGAATATTTTTTATACTCAACTGAACCCTCTGGTGAGACTCTTATAGTTATGCTCTACGACCTATACAATTAAAGTGTTCTTAGTTAACAGTTTTGATGTTAGCGCAATTGGCACCGTAACGAACGTTTTTTGAACTTAACAGTGACGAGAGGCGGAAGTTTACTATAAATGCCGAATGCCCGACTGAACGAACTTCAGTTTGTTCAACTTCTGTTGCGTATTGTACTTACAAATATGTTGAGACATTTACACATATCACTATCTAGTTCCATGGTAAGCTACGAGGCTGTGTTATGGATACCAAATAGATGATACACTACACATACATAATTTTAAATATATACATATTACAAATATAAACACCCATGACTGGAGTACAAAGATTCGTGCTCATCACTCGCGGGACTCGAACCCGCGATCTCTGGCACAGCAAGTAGGGTCACTACAAACTGAGCCGAACGTGTCGTGAAACAAAGGTATATGATAACAGGAGCGGTACGCCGAAGTGGCCGCTCTACTCGCCGAGGCGCAGGAGCAGCTGCGCGCGGCGCGGCGGCGCGGCGAGGCGACGCGCGGCCTCATGCCGTCCGTGGCGGCGGCGGCCGGCCTGCTGCCCGCCAGCCTGCACCGCGAGATGCACTCCTCCGTCTACTCCGAGCTCAGTCTCGACTCGGGCATTGGGGATCCGATTGCGCAGTTAGTATATCCATACTAATATAATAAATGTGAAAGTGTGTTTGTTTGTCTTTCTTTCACGTCGAAACGGAGTGACGGATTGGCGTGATTTTTGGTGTAAAGATTGTTGGAGAGCTGGAGAGTGAAATAGGTGATTTTCTATTGCGAAAGGTCATCTCATTCCCACGGGAAAATACGTTATAATAAAACCCAAAAAAATATTTATGATCAGAATTATTTGAAACTTTGTATTAATTCTCTTCAACACAATTAAATAAATACGGGTTTTAGCATTTTTCGAAATTCATCCTATAAGGGGGTAAAATAGGGGATGAAAGTTTGTATGAAACCTACTTTATATACAGATTTTTTTGTAGTTTTAGCGCGAGCGAAGCCACAGGTTCTGCTAGTCATTAATAAGCTAAAGTTTGTATGTGTGTGCCATGTATGTGTATGCATGCATGTATGGGTATGCTTGTTACTCCTTCACGGTAAAACAACTTTTAAATAGGTGGCGCTACCATATGGAGAGCTGGAGAGTGAAATAGGTGATTTTCTATTGCGAAAGGTCATCTCATTCCCACGGGAAAATACGTTATAATAAAACCCAAAAAAATATTTATGATCAGAATTATTTGAAACTTTGTATTAATTCTCTTCAACACAATTAAATAAATACGGGTTTTAGCATTTTTCGAAATTCATCCTATAAGGGGGTAAAATAGGGGATGAAAGTTTGTATGAAACCTACTTTATATACAGATTTTTTTGTAGTTTTAGCGCGAGCGAAGCCACAGGTTCTGCTAGTCATTAATAAGCTAAAGTTTGTATGTGTGTGCCATGTATGTGTATGCATGCATGTATGGGTATGCTTGTTACTCCTTCACGGTAAAACAACTTATAATAGGTGGCGCTACCTGTACAAGTAAACGTACCATAGCGAAGCGAGTGTATGTGTCTTTTTAATAGTTCTCTTTTTTAATTAATTTCAATGGGACTTTTTGTTGAATGAATTGATTGAAATAAATGCGTGAGTTAAAAACAGTCGTGAAGGAAGCATTATTTTTTTAGCAGTATTCAATATTAAATATGCACTATGCACATACTGTTGCCTTAATAATAATTAAAGTATACATATATTTTGAAGGATATTTTTTTCAATAACAAGCTTTTTCTTATTTATTTTGGTATTTATCTAATATTATTGTGTATGTGTAAACGTTTCGTCATCATTTCATTATTTATTCATAAGGAAGCGTTATCTACACGTTAACCTTCACACCTTTTTGCCTCACAAGCTGATAAATAAATATATAAATAACTCTGCTATACACGTTATATAAAAATTAAATAAACTGCAAATTTAATTTTAAAAATATTAGATAGAACGCAAGTTTTAATCTTAATTGGCTGAGATATTTTCTAAGCTCCTTAATTAATATAAATATTTTGGGAGATTAACACACAGCGCTATCTAGTTCCATGGTAAGCTACGAGGCTTGTGTTATGGATACCAGATAGTTGATACACTATACATATATAACTTTTAAATACACATATATTATAAATATAAACACCCATGACTGGAGCACAAGTATTCGTGCTCATCACACAAATAAATGCCCCCAGCGGGACTCGAACCCTCGACCTCTGGCACAGCAATTAGGGTCACTACAAACTGAGCCAAGCATGTGTTGTCAATTGTTGTAGAATAATAATTTCCTAGACCAGTACAATAGTGGCCGTGGTCACTGGTTATGAATTAAATTAAATTTTAATTATTTCAGGGAAAAACTAACGTGCTAGATATACAGTTGAAATTGCAGAATAAAATGTAACTTAATTTAATATATTAATTTAATAAACTATTATTACCCTTTCTCATGTTTAATAAATATTTTTATCTTATTTACTGTAGAAAATAACTGCAGCTCATGAGATCTCCCGTTCAATTCTATTTTTTGAAAGTCAAAACAAAAATCTTATTGGATTTATTTTTAATATGTATTATGTATAAGTTTAAGTATATAAATTACTGATTTTGTTATAGCTCAAGCATGCAGAAAGTGTTCGAGACGGTGCAGTGCGCGTCTCGCTGGTCGGGCGCGTCGCTGGCGGGCTCCGACTCGGACGCGTCCGCCGCGTACAAGCCGCCGCCCAAACCTGTCCTGTCCGACTCATTCCTCGAAGACGTGTCTGATACAGAGTCGGAGGATTTGTACCCGTGAGTATATTGATTGCATATAGAATTTTCAGTCAAGTATTACTGAAATGTTTTTATTCATTAATTTGATTAACGCTTAAAAATATTAATTATTAATACTGATTGTTTTGTCTAATAAAATGATTTAATTTTATAATGTTTAAACGAATTTGCTGTAGTTTTTGCGGTATATTTTTAAATTAACTTACATTCAATATGAATGTACAAACACTTTGTGCCTACTCATTATTAATATAATCGTTAATTTTTGATATATGTAAAGTAAAATATGGAAATCATCCATTTACGACTGTAAGGGGTATTTATTTTATAACCATCATGTATACATATTAACAGGAAGAGTTGTTACTTATATACTTAATAATTTACCTTATATGTGCAGGGGTAACACGGGTGTGGGCGTGCCCGGCGCGCCCGGCGCGGCCGAGCTAGCGGCGGCTCTCAGGCGACTCACGCCGCAAGAGATCAACTCGAGACGCGCCTCCTTGGCAGCTTCACATGTACTTAGGCATAAGAAAAGGAATGGTACGTGGTTTTTTTGCATTTATAATATTGTTAAATGTGTCTTGTTGCATTTATATGTAATGGAAATTCTCAGAGAGAACGATTTATTTTCTCTTCTGACTTAATTTACAAATATTATCAAAGTGGTAGATAATTTTTTCATAATGTTTATAAGTAGTAGGCATGTAAACCTTCCTAAATAACCTCTTTTTCTTTCGATGAAAACCGCATAAAAATCCGTACACTATTTTCTGAGTATTATCTGAAAAAACAAATTCAACTTTTTATATACCAATAATATATAATGATTTATTTCATTGTATTTTAAATTTTATAATTTAAAAGCTGTCCTAAATTTTTAAAAATATGATGTAAATGATTACATCATTGATTATATCAATTTAAGAGATGAAAGAGTATTGGAAAATATTAATTAAATTAAAATACGTACAGAGAGAGACGTAAGCGAGGAGAGCGCGGTGTGGGGCGCGGGGGCGGCGGGCGGCATTACGCGGTTCCGGACGCCACACAAGCTGCAGATAGTCAAACCTATGGAGGGCTCGCTCACACTACACACTTGGGCACAGCTTGCTAAGCCAACCATGTCGGGTAAACATTTTAAAGATTTATTTATTTCATTCATTAGTTATACTGACAGTAAGAATGTTCATGGAGAAGAATTCGTTTTTCAAATATTCATATTCAATACTTTTGCATTGTAGGTTTACTGGAAGATCAAGAAGGTGTGGGCGTGCGAGGTTCTAGGTCGGCACAAGCATTAGGCATGCGAATCTATAGGTTATCAGATGTGGAAGAAGATGACGACATGCTTCGATTGCCACATTCCAGTCACATCTATACGTTTACTAACAGGTATTTTATTATTTATTAATATTGTAATATTCATATAATTTAATGTTTTATATTATGCTTACGCTACTATTGATGTAAGCTTTTAAAAATCATTCAATTATTATAATATATTAATTTCATCATATGCGTAGTCGTTATAATATTTTCAGTAAGCTTGCTTAAGCTTTCTCTTTTCCTTCCACTACAGCACCGTCTTACATCCAAACGATGGCAGCCTCGTAGGTAGCAGCGTGAGCAGCGTGTGCAGCAGCGGCATGAGCAGCCTGTCCAGCAGCGTGTTCGGCAGCGCGTGGAGCTCGCGCCTCACCTCGCGCCGCTCCTCCGCCGCCGTGTCGCCCGTGCTCTCGCGCCGAGACTCGCTCTGCGCGCCGCCCTCGCGCCCGCACTTCACGCCCACCGCCACGCCAGCCAACAGCCCGCTGCTGGGCTCGCCCGACGCGTCGCCGCCGCCCACGCCGCGCCCCGGCGACGCGCCGCCCTCGCTGCACGCGCTGATCGCCAGCGGCACCTCCATCCTGCGCCGCCGCTACCTCACCTCGCCCGCCTCCGACGGCTCGCCCGCGCCCCTCGCGTTGCAGACACCCGGCTCCCTCTACACCGGCCTCGTCCACCGCAGCCCAATGGAGCAGCTCACCTGCCTCAAGCGCACGCTCCGGTCGCCGGCCGCGGTGCCGCCCGAGAGGAGCGTCGCCGAGTCGCCTCTGGGAGTCCCCGCTCAGCCGGGACAAGGCGCGCTTGACGTGGCGACGTCCTCGGCCGGGGTCAACGGGTCGAGCGCGGCGCGACGCGCGCGGACGAGGGCGCCACGACCACGCACCGACCTCGGCACGGTGGGCGCGGTGCCGATCACGTGTCCGCCCACGCAGTCGACGCCACTGGGCACTCTCAGCACCTTTCTCTTCGGCCGGAAAGGTGGCCTGCTGTGATGCTGTGAGAGTGCACGGCCAGTGCACCACTAGGCAAGATTGGACGCTCGGACGCCGCTCGCTCAACCCGATCGTAAGCGTTGCGAGCCGCGTCGATTGTAACTCGATCGATCCCGATGCGTAGCCACATTAATTTTGGTACTTGTGATTTAGCTCTAGACAATCGATTTTTTATAATATACAGTGTGAGGATTATCAATAGATTTAGGTTGTAACCGTCGATTTAAATGTAACGTTTTACGTTTTGAATCCTTTATGTTTGTGAGTCGTTTGTATTTTAAACGTTTTGACGTTATTTGTTTTGTAGTCAATTTTTGTTTTTAGAAAATTGCTTTTGCATTTATATAGCAGATTTTATAATCGTGAATCTGATTCGACCTTTATAAAAACTATTTTGAATTTAAAAATGTCATTCAGCATTTTCAAATCTCTTAACACATTCCTTTGAGAAAGTTAGTATTAATTGAATGTGAAAAAGGACTAAGTCGAAATCTGAAGCAAAATCGATAATAAAACTGGATGTAGAAAATCATTAAAAAATACAAAACATAATCAAGCATCACATTTAAGTGTTGATATAGGGGAAATTTATTTTTACTTGGCAATTGACCTTTTAAGTATTATTTAGTGAAATTATTTAGAAAACTTTTAATTGTTGTTCATTTTTAGTTATTTTTTGAATTGTATATTTGCTAATTTGAATTACTCTGTTTATGTGATTATTATACTTTTTCGACATTTTTTCACAAATATAATTAATGATATCATTACATTACTATCGTCATGAATCATATGTAAAACATTGTAAATAATCAAACTTCCATTAATTTAGAAGAGTACAAATTATTTATGTTAATGTAAATTAACAAAAAATTAGTAATAATTATAATGAAAACTTAGAATGGTCTGATTCATTTCAGTTAAAATTTTCGCATTTCTATTTAAAACAAATAATACACTGAAGTCGTTATCCAAGCTCTTGATAAAATATTAATATAGAAATTTGAATTTAGTTTTTTGTTACTGTTACTAACTCAGGGTCTAAATGTAAAATGGTGCATGCCTTAATGCTTAAGAAGAAGTCACATATAACTTGGATCATTAGAAAAATAGTCATGGAACTTTTGTTCAGTCCTTTATTTGTACTTTTGATAGCTTTATTATTTATTTATGTTTAAGTCATATCGGGGAGGAGAAGGTTACATCTATTACTTAATTACTAATAAACTAGTGACATCTAGGTTTCCTAGTATTTTAATAATACATTTAATAATCACATTTATCCCTTGTGCTGTTAACTTCTCCAACCTGTCGGTGCTAGATACTGTCAGTAAGATTTCCTTTAATGTGTGATTTTATAGTCACACGCCTTTAGTTATAATTGCAAAATCAGTAGTAAAATAGGGTATTTTTCAATTTTTGTTAATGCTTCAGCAAAAGAAGTAGTAAAAATAATGTTTGCGAAGGTGTAATAGTAGGTCTGGACGGCTGTGACGTGTATGTTGATTTCAATTGTGTTAGATTCCGTGATTCTATTTAACACGTGGTTTCGGCACAAACTGTACAGTATAGGAGTTACTTGTTGAGAATTGACGATAACAACAAAATATTATGATAGCAATGATTGTATAATAATAGAAATATAAATTATTCCAATATAATTAATGTTTTTTATTTCTTGTATTATCCTATTTATTTAATATCTTAAGAAAGTAAGTGTTAGTAAGTACTAAGTAGTTAAGTAGTATAAATAGCTCAGTTTTTTTGCTGCATGTCTTTCTAAAATATGTCAAATAAGAAGACAGATACTCAATTTGCTATCCAGCAAAATCCTTACTTTTTCCATTAATAAGATTTTGTGAGGACCATAAACCAAAAGGACAGACACATTTTTTTTTAAATTGTGTTTTTCTTATAAGTTTCGTACATAATTTCATATGCATTTAGTAAAAATCTTTTATTTCCATTGTTACAAATTGTTTTTATTTGTCTGTATAGGTCAAACGTCGTCATTATAAAAAAAAATAGTTACACACACTTGAAATGACGTCATAAGCTATGCCCATGTCATTGTCGATTTAAGCAAAACTGTTATTATTAGACGAAGGATATGGAAGTAAGATAATGCAAATAATAACAATTTTTTTCATTGGACACTACAAATACCATACAATAATCGTTCAATTCAATCCAATTCTTAGTTCTGTTAGGCAAATACAATTGTTAATAATACAAAACTGTTGATACACCTCACGTCATATTTTTGTTCTAGTGATTCTGTGTACTGCTGTTTTGCCATTCGGAGAGACCCCAGGAGAAAGAAATTCGTCCAAATATTGTCGATAGATGGCGTTATATGTACAGATTTCTTAATGATGTATTGGTAAAATAATAAAAGAAAAAAGTAAAACCTAAAACAGATACCTATATTCTAGTATAAAAAGTGCTAAATAAATTATACTACACTACACATATTTTAGTACAAAGATACTCGTATTTATAAAAGTGGATAGGTTGTGGATCAACAACAAACATATTTTAAGAAAATTCAAATATGCGATATTACTACAATATTATGTAATAAATTAAATAAAATGCCTATAATCCAAAGAAATTGGACGACACTAAATTATATTTGGGCCACTGTTCGGGTTATTTTCTTCTGCATGAATAGACGATAGATGGCGCTTATAAATGTTGCCGTAATATTTTATTGGCTAAATTTGCCGTAATATTTTATTCAAAAAAATCTGAAATGTGCAAGGTATAGGGAAATGCAAAATCAAAACAAACAGTTACTGTAACTCATTGTACCGGAATTGTATAAGTCATATAATGGCAACAACGTCTTCTATGAACTTATTATTCTTATTCTATTCATGCTTTTTTATTCATTTCTTTATTTTTCTTTGCTTAGGTGAGTTTAAAGTTAACATATAAGTTTATACAATCATTTTACTTCTTTTATTAATTTTACATTGTATTTATGCACAGGTTATCTTTTGATATTTATTTGAATATTTTTTTCTCTGATTCCTGAAAACCCATGACGTGCATTGTGCTGTGAACAGGACATTAATTACCTATATGATAATATAACAGAGATATAATAAGCTTATCTTCAACTAGCACGATTCTATAGCCCGTTTTGCAGAACTGTGAAACAAGACTTAAATAATTATAATTTGTAAATTAATATTAATAAGGTGACATAAGAAAATGTTAAACTATTCTGATGACACAAATATATTAACATATTAGATACCTATTTTCTCTGTTTTATCTTAAGTATAAACTAATAAATCATAAATTATCCCATACAAGCCAGTATCATAAACATCTACTATCTCATAATAGATCACTCAAGGATTAGAATCCGTACAAGTATTGATAGAACATTCCTCAATAAGTCCTCTTAGGGATTGAAAGGACTGGATTACAATGATACTAAAAAAGTAGGTTTTAGCATGGCGATAGTTTCAGGGTCGGAGAATGATATAGGTTTATTTTTTATTAAGTATAATCACATTTTTAAATAACGGAAATATCTTTGTGAGCTTTTTTACTTCTATCAACCAATTTTAAAATGAAGTGAATATTCACCCGTCTACGGGTCTACGGAAAGCTCTCCCGTATCTGAAACGTGGATCGATTAAATTTAGTTCAAGCTTTCAGATTTGTTTTTGCAAACTTATTTACAGGTAAATGTAAATTTTTTGAGGAATACGGGGAATTTTCCCGTGGATCTAAAAGCGTGAACTAAATCAATCCTCGATTTAGGATAATTTTGGGTAAGCTACGGGAAAGCTTCCCGTAGCGTACCTGAAATTAGCAATATTAACAAGTAGACAATAGATTATTAACAATAGATATTAACATATAGTTTTAGCTTTTTTAAAAATAAATTTATATTTTACTGTCATATAAAATATAGAGGAATTTTCGCGGGACATATAATATTGGAAGAAATAATCTGATTTACTAAAAAGGTAGATAGATAGATTTGGGTCATGAGCTAGATTTTATTTCAGTCGTTTATACAGAAACTAATGAGAAACAAATGACGATAGAACATGAGATCTGATTTCTATGTAGTGTGGTAGTTCTGTTTAGATGTTGCCGAGAGTGTAGTACGAGTATGTATGCATCACCCCTTCATGTCTATATACCTCTTCCAAATAGCGGTTGCCATAGCAACATTATTAAAACAAACAGAACTTTCATTGTCACACAAATATTCAATTTTAAGTTACAAAATATATATACTTTGAATATGACCGAGCGAATCAAGTTTATTGTGAAAGAATTAAACTCTACATTGGGCAGAAACTATGACTTGATAAAGTTTGATTCGTTAGATGAAAAGCAGTTACTTCAGGTGCTAGTAGATTTGCTTGTTAACTTCAATGCTGGTGAAAAGGTATGAATAATTATATATTAACGTGTGTCTATAGTAATTCTTATTGGGATGTGTGCCTCAAGCCTCCAATTTTATATATGATCAAAAAAGAAATCCTTAGTCTAGTTAGGTACCTTTATCTTGCATATTAAATATCCATCTATCTATATACGAAAAATATATTTGTAATAATAATCTACATGTTTTATAAATTAGTTAAATATACGCGAAGATGATCCAGAGACTTTAACGGTACGTTTACTGGAAATGCTAGGGAGCGTTAAATATCGACCTCCGACTGGGGTAGAGCCGACGCTTTTCAGATCGCAGCTGCTCGCGGGTGATTCGAGAACGATTCACCATGTCTTACATTGGCTTCTATCTAACAAAGAGCAAGTTAAGAATACTGCGTATCTTGCTAAGTAAGTTTCTTGTCATTTTATCCTAATAAACTATTTACTAAAATATTATTTAAGCTTATATATTTATTTAACTTACTTTAGCTTTGTCAAATAATATTGTAAAGTTAATGAATTACTTATTACTAACATGCAAATATTTATTTGCTTTAATAAATTGAAATTTTAAGATTTTTATCCACTGTCGTTATTTAATCTAAATCGTATATTTACATCTAAACATTAAGTACTTGTATTAATATACTAAGTATACTTTATCCTATGTAGGCAATATTTATTTTTAAGGGACAGAATCGATATGAACGTTTTTTGACAAATAAAGCCATCTTCTATATTCTATAAAGGTATGCTGAGACTCGCAACTTGTGCAGTTTTTCTGATATGAGACTGAGTTAATTTGTCAATACGAGAGACAACATATCTAGTACCAACTATCATAAAAGAATTCCATTTCCGAGATTACTATTATCAACACGCATTCCTTTATTGACTTGGTAGACGACTAAATACCTATACCATGTCAATTGTAGGATGACGCGATTGTGTTGTATCTTGTGGTGGCTTTACATTGAAAATTGAACATAGAGTGGTATTACACGGCAGGGGTTTCAATCACCTATCTTAGTATAATATAACAGTTATAACTATTTTTTGTTATAGACATAATATTTTACAGGTATTTAAAAATCCCAGATATACCTGCCGATGTGGCACGTAATAATACAATTCAAGATTTATTAGACCTGTATCAAAATCTGATAGATGAATTTAAGGACGTACACAAAAGGACTAGAATATTTCAAAAAGAAAATGCTTCTGAAATTATTAACGATATTAAAGAAATGGCAGTTGAAAGGGATATAGGTAATGCTAATTATTTTATTTTGTTCGTGTAGCTTTATGCAATGGTACCGCGTACGGTGAGTGATATATACGTGATGGTCTTGGCTCGGTTGCTTAATATGGCGAATGACATTTCATCTAACAAAAATGAAAGTTTAGAGTTGAAACCTTAATTATTATAATGTACATTTGTAAGTAAATCAAAGCGAAATTAACTATGGCTTACATATAAGGATAATATGTAGAACTATGTTTACTTTTCTTATAGAGTCTCCCAGACTTAAGTGTTTATATAATCACCCTTGAATGAATAGTAATATGTTTATTTATAGTAGGGGAGCCCAAGAGCGGATATTGGGATTTACTCAAGCGTATTTTTTAAATATTTTGATCGGCTGCCCTAGACGCGCGACCTTGTACAGAGGACTTATATATGGTGGAGGTACTCAACAGAGTGCGACATATTCCCCCTAATTTTAATCTGCCGCGCTTGAGCTAATCTCAAAATCCCTTCTTTAATATATGCTCTCGACCTAATTCCAAAAAAGTAGATAAGTACTGGTGTTCCTTGTTAGTAAGATGAACGTACATAGATATGTACACACTTAATTACACATTGTATAATTTAAAATAATGAAATATTAGTCAAATAATAAAATATCAGTCAAATAATAAAATAAATAAAAAAAAACTAATGTGAAGCACAAAAGGCTTTTCGCTATTATCCATACTAATATTATAAATGTGATAGTGTGTTTGTTTGTTTGTCTTTCTTTCACGTCGAAACGGAGTGATTTGTTTTTTTGGGTGGAGATAGTTGGAGGGCTGTAGAGTGATATAGGCTACTTTTAACCGCGGCATATTATCTAATTCCCAAAGAAAAACACGTTATAATACAACTCAAAAAAATATTTATGATCAGAATTACTTGAAACTTGGAAACTATTAATGCTCTTCAATACAATTAAATACGCATTTTTCGAAATTCACCCCATAAGGGAGTAAAATAGGAGATGAAAGTTTGTTTGAAACTACCTTTTTAGATTTGTTTGCAGTCTTAGCGCGAGCGAAGCCGCGAGTTCTACTAGTATATTATATGTTATTGATTTCTCCCTTATAACCTAATTGCATTGAAAATGTGGAAGTTTAAAATGAGATAGGTCGGATATACAATAATTACACAATTCATCTAATGTATAAGGGAAATAATAAAAAATAATATAACATGAATGTTTACGTTTTTAAAACTATTCAAAGTCTTTGATTTCGTAAAGGTGCCTTATATGTGTAGTTGCAGCTGATACAAGCAATGAATGCTGCTGTGTACACTGTACAGGCATTCTCCTGTTTCAGTATTAAGTTTTCTATATCTTACCTTAATCTATTAGAGAAGTCATCTTAAATTCAATCATTTCAAATAAGATGGAGATTTTGGATTTAATAATACACACTATAGAAAAAAATAATTTATAAAGTGTAGTGACAGCGAATAATGAGCTAGTTGAATTTTGCCCCAAATTCAACAATGCTATTTACGCAAATTAAAGAACAAACAAAAGATTTAAGTCATTGATGTGGTTTAATAATAAATATAAATAAATAATATATAGGATAAACGAAAGAAGGCCTCTTTCTGATACGAACAGAAAGTATAAAGCACAGACGCCACAAAGATCTATATATAGTATTAAATACTTTCGTACTCCTTTCACTTGAGTTGACTATGATAAAGTTCACATTAACATCTTTATCTTGTGGCGCAAAAAGAGATTAAAGCTCCTTTATATATATTATCGGGGGGTAACTTTATGCAATTAACCCTCACAATCAGGCCAATAACTATAAACCGAAACTTTCCAAGATTATCGTTTTGATCGTAAAATTTTGCTGTAACTGAAAATTTTTTAAAGGTCAAGGTCAATGGAGGTTAAAACAATTAATATAAGTAATAATTCACTTCAATAGTTAACTTTTCTTACACGAATAATACTCATAATTTTTTTTTGAAATATGTTATACATATATCTATACTAATATTATAAATGTGAGTATGGATGTTTGTTACTCTTTCACGCCAGAGCGGCTGAATGGATCTGGATGAAATTTGGCACAGAGATAGATTATATAGTCTGGAATAACACATAGGCTATTTTTATCCCGGAAAAATATAAGCTCCCGTGGGATAGATTGGTTTTTGTTTTAAATGAGCTAGTGTGTAAATAAATGAAAACTGCTTTTGTTTTAGTGATTAAGAGACTGGAGAACGTTCAAGTTCACTTAGTTGATATAAGAGATAAAGAAGATCTGCTAAACGTGAGTAAGCTTTTGCGGACTCAGCAAGAGAGGGCTAAAGAGTTAGAAAATCAAGTAAGCATCCATCTATTTCTTCACCGAACACGAATTACAATTATATAAATAATAAAGTCTTACTTCTAACGCCGTGTCGTTACGTAGACTAGACGTATTGAGAGTGTCGTAGTATAAAATAAAAACTTAAAAAAAAAACGACTTCCAGGCACTAAAATGTAAAAAATAACTAAACGGAAGTTTTCATTTAGATAGATACCTAATCAGATATTTTCGAAGTCGGTGCCTTCGAAACAAAAAAAAAAAATACAAATCGGTGCAGGCGTCTTCGAGTAATCGGTGAACATACATAAAAAAAAAGAAAAAAAAAAAGATTCCGACGAATTGAGAACCTCCTCCTGTTTTTGGGAAGTCGGTTAGTAATGCGTAGGTAGTCTAGGTACATTAGTTCTAACATAGGTACTTGCGACAAATTATTAGTTTTATTCAATATGGAATAAGGTAAAAATATATATGAGGAAGTATCTGCTACCGGCTAAAGTTAATTGAAAATTCTTTTGGTACTTTTTGTACACCTGCCGTTTTTAAATAAAAAAAATGTAAATTATAACTTTCATGACGCACCACAAAATCTATCACATCGTGTGCTAGATAGTATTTAAAATGACCAGGTAGTAAAATTGTTAAGTTCATAAGGACATAGGTATAGGGCGAGTTTTAAGTAAAAAATAACCTTCGGTGAACCTCGACAGAATTGCTATCCGCTTATAGTATTATTATACGAAAGAAAAAATAATTAATTGTTGATATATAAAAATAGTAAAAAGGCAGTGGTAGCCCAGTGGTAATACGCTCGCTTGGGAAATCGAGTGAAGCGGGTTCAAATCTCGGGTCTCGCATTTCTGATATTTTCATGGGTCATTAACTACCAGTAGGTTAAAAGTTCCTTAGGAAGACACGGGGTATGGAAAGCGGACCGCTAATATACTGCATAGAAAATTAATAATTGTTTTAATTTATAGTTTTACCGCGGACTTGGTTAATTTTATTACAATAGATATGATTTAAGAAGCTTTTCGTAACGTAACTTATTATATAATGTAAATATTATTCATATATTTTTTCACATATTTTTCATTTTTCAATAATACTACCAGTAAAGGTTTTCAAATGTTACGTTGTTTGAAAATTGTTCAACAGTACAACATGCAGCAATCTCAACTAAAGACAGCATTAGAGCAACTAAAGCGGTATTTAAATGTTATCCATGGCCAGAGCGCTACTCCCAAGAGTGTTTCCGACGTGATTAAACATTTACATGAGGAAATACAGGTTATATTATTATTATATGTTTACCTATTAAGTACTTTTAATTATTATTTTAGTTAATGCTACTTTAAAAAACGAATTCATAAAATGATAAATTTACTTGAACAGGTAGAGTTGAAGTTCTAGTAACATACTAGTAGCAGGTATTAGTATCCTATTATGCCTCGGAGGTCTAGTGGCTAGCATGTACGGCCCCAGGTTCGGAGGTCTTGGAGTCGAGTCCCGGGTCCGGCCAAGTTCAGTTATTGGGTATTTCTGTCAACAAATTCTCAGTAATAACCCGAAGTCGTAGGTGTTTTACCCCTGTGTCACAGAGAGCATATAAAGTCGTCGGTCCTGCACCTTAACTCTCACTGATCGAGTCGAGTAGTGGCGACCCACTGGAGGATGAGAGTCATAGGAATAAAAAGTACACTTGTGTTTGCGCGTACACTTATGCACTATAATATCCCATGGAAGGCTATCTCTCATCTCAATCTATCTCAATGAGAATGACCGCCGTGGACGAATGAATCGGTTGGGATTATATTAAAGAATAATAATGTAATATTTTATTATTTTTATTTAAGTACATAATACATACATCCTCGGTGACTGAACTGCCTTAAAGTGTGCAGAGGACTTCATATTATGTTTTATTTAATTTGTAATATTTTTAAAGTCTTTGTTTCTATTTTTTAGTTAAACAGTTATTTAAAGCAAGAAAAACTACCACAAGAAAGTTCCAGTCTACAGAAAGAATTAAATATTATGCAAACAATTGCTACAGAGCAGCATCCAACTCGGTCAGATTTAATCACCATTCAAGATAAGGTGATATTCCAATCTAAACTTTCCACACTGCATGTTGTTTAGTATATGTACATATGTACATATACTAAACAACATTGCAACGATTTATAATATGTATGTATTTAAAGTTATATGTATGTAGTGTATCAACTATCCGGTATCCATAACACAAACCTCGTAGGTTACCATGGAACTAGATGGTGCTGTGTATTAATGTCCCAACATATTTATTTATTTATTTATGTATATCAATTTAAACTAAAAAGTACCTAATTCACAATTGATTAGTCAAGTTCTGAAGAATTTAGTACTTAGATACTCCACAGGACGTCGGAATTTTCAAATACATACTGTTTACATTCCCAAACTTCCTGGATATCTTTTAAGGGAAGAAGTTTAAATTACTTTGAACAGTCAGCTTATATTAATGAACGTTCAGAGAAAAATGTTACAAAGTATGACATCGACTAGGTTATTTTTAAAATAATGTTGTCATCAAAATATGTATTACTAAATCACAATGACATTAATAAATAATATTATACTTTATAGATAAGTGCTGTAAACAATGAAATAGAACAGCTAGTGCAACGCCGTCTCGCTGCTTCTGACCCACAAGAGGACAAGTTAACGCCTTTCCGTCAACAAGCAGCAGTCATCAGGCGAAATAAAGAAGCGAGCGCTACACGCGTACACGAGCTTACTGCTACGTTAAAAGACCATGAAGCAACCCTGGCTGATTTGCGATCGCAAGTAAACTTTCACCTTACTTTTTGAGTCAATATTAGTCCCGCTGAGTTTCTTTCGCCAGTTCTTCTCAGGTCTGACGTTTCTTCTTTCCGAACTGGTAGTAGATCCATTACGTTCAGTAAAAAATTGTAATAATTTAATGCTGAATAAAATATTTTGAAATTTGAATTTTAAAAATTACAAATTAAATTACAACTGAATAAATTGCATATGCGGCTCCTCTCACTGCGCTATGCATTTGTTTAGGATATTTATTATTCTGTTGATGCACATACGATGCATCATTATAATGTATATACAACAACGACGATTTAGTTTTTCATTCTATTGAGATGATTATATTTTAGTTCTCTCGAATTTTGAACTGAATAATACTTTCTATATTTTATTCTATAATAAAAAGCATAAATCAGAACTTTTATTAGGTAATTAACACTTTTGTTTCACGCGTTTGTTCTAAATGTTAAAGGTCCTGAAATATTATTAGTAGTAAATGTTTCTCGACTTATTTATTACTATAATTATACTTCGTTCCGTCTTACAAATGTTCATAATATGAAAAATATTTTTGTTCTAAATAGTGCTTTGACTTTGAAAGTTGACCTAGTTAAGTGCTAAGTTGGTAGCGCCATTCGGGTGGTGTTGTTATTGCCTCATTGATAGTACGCTTGGTCTCGATCAATAAATGTAGACTGAGTTTGTTACTTACTTTTTCACTAGCTCTATTTGGCTGGATGCTATCATATCTTAAATCTAAAGTGTTTAAAAATAACTCAGTGCCCTAAGTCTATTGAGATACCGAGATATTTTTTCCATTTCAAGTAATAGGTCATTATGTCGAAATGTCGAAAGATTCAGTTCAGATAATTACGTTACTATTCGTCTTTCCTTTTTGAATGATGTTCGACACAATCTTTGATCGAGATCGGGATTAGGCATTAAATGAAAATGTATCTGTAATCCATTTCTCTTGTATTCGCGCCTTTTTTTGTTACCGATGAAGACTTGATTTATTGCCCAAACTTAAATGATTAGATTTACTTAGATATCTAAATTTGTAAATTTTTCATGAATTTTAGCTAATTATGCATTGTGTCACTACAGAAAATCTTATATTATAGGTAAAGCAACTTCTCGGAGATATGGTTCTCAGAGGTGAAGAACTTAAAAAGTACGTCAATTCGTTGCGAACAAAAAGTACACTCTATAAACGGCAAAGAGCTAATCTATCAACATTTAAGGTATATTGAATACGTGAAATGCACTAATTGAGTTTGCAATTATAATACAATTTTTAGTATTTAAACACTAAAATCCATAACAATTAACTTTTTTTTTAAAGGTGGAAGCTGGCATTCTTTCACGGACGCTACATATTTTAAATACTAATGACCCTACAGTTGAAATGGCACTGGTGAATCATAAAAAAATGATAATTGACGACATGGATATAATTGAAAAAGGCCACGACAAATCTGATGATTTGAAAAAAAAATCTTTACATGATCTTTCTCAGGTACTTGTATAAAATTATTCTGTTTGGTTTGTTCACTATCTGTTATGTTTATAGTTATTTATATTTGTTTTCGTTTTAAAGCTCGTCGCACAAACTGCACAGAAACTGTCGCAGGTGCGACAAGAAATTCATCCGTTGGCAGATAAAGTGAAACCTGTAAAACAAGAGTTTCAAGAAATGCAACAGAAATATGAACAAAAAAAGAGAATTTATGAGGCCACATCTATTAACATATCGTCACAAATGGAACCATTGAAAGATCAAGTTAAAGAGCTGACTGACCAGTTAAATAGTAAAGAGAATGAATGGAAAAGCTTGAGGCAAAAAATTACAAAGGCCGAAAGTTTGCAAGAAGTTGTAATGTTTGAAATGAAAAACTCAATGCAATCGCCACGAAAACCCTCGAAAATGGAAGCTTTAAAAAAAAGGGTCGCCGATGTAAAAGAGCTCGTAAACAACTTGGAAGAGGCAAGTGTAATAGTTTTTGTCGAGTAAATTATTACTTATTATTTTTACTTTTATATTGCCTACGGGACGTTTTTGTGTACATACAAAAGTTACGATTATTACTTTCCTATTCATAATTTATATATTGTAAATATAGCGTTACAAGATATTGTTTTTTTTTAAGTTTAAGTTTTATATACTAAATATAATATCCAATTTTTTGTTTATATATTTCATTTAATTGTTTACAATTGTTGCTATGCCGATATTATACCAAATTATATTATTGATGTTTTATGTTCAATAAATAAATAATTTTTATCCTGTTTTAATAGGTAATGTAGCTAAATAAAAATTATTTTTTATTTAAGATATCCCAGAAGAAGCTCATTTGATTTTGTTTTCTGTAACTTTCCTTTTAGACCAGAGTCGATAATTTTTGAAACCAAAAAAAATAATAGTAGGATGCAACCCATTAGAAAAGGAGGGGAATATTATAAAAATAAAAGGAAAAATAATTTACGGGCGATCTGAGGTCGGGAAGGGGGTGGGGGGGAGCTTTTAAGGGTAAAAAACGGTCTTTCTCGATTTCCGGCAAAACTAAAAGTCTTTTCGAAAAAAATCAAATGGCAAAGTTGTAGGTAATAAAAAGATCTAAAACTTTTGTATTTACTCTTTTTTCACATAACCTCAAAACTTATGTGAAAAATTCAAAAAACCAAGTTTTTGGTTTTTTATTTTTATCTTTTACAAAAATGTTTTTGTTTTAACGAAATTTGGTGAAAACTTACCTTTTTATGTTCCAAATACGCTGTAATTTATTTGATTAAAAATATTTATTTTTCACCTTATTTTGAATTAATATCGAAAAAGCACCCTAATTTTCAATCGAAAATTCACCCGTCAAAATATCAGCTTTTTTCAAAAAGTTGGTGTGTTTTCTGTTTGTTGAAATCTCTACTTTCCGATAGTGAAAAAAAAAATATGTTACTATAGTAAATCTTCTGAGAAAATGCAAAAATCAAAAAACCTTTTTTATTTCATACACTTGCTTATCATCTGCCTTATTGCAAATGATACAAACAGATTCATCCATACTGATAATCTGAAAAGACAAAATCGAATTAATAATTCCTTCACTATTTTATCGTGAGTATACCCCCATGAAAAAAAATATATTAAAGAAATAAATGTCAAAATGTATAAAAAATATATTATAAATATATTAAAAATCTATACTATACATATTTTTTATATATTTATACATACCAACTTTTTGATAAAAGCTGATATTTTGACGGGTGAATTTTCGATTGAAAATTAGGGTGTTTTTTCGATATTAATTCAAAATAAGGTGAAAAAATAAATATTTTTAATCAAATAAATTACAGCGTATTTGGGACATAAAAAAGTAAGTTTTCACCAAATTTCGTTAAAACAAAAACATTTTTGTAAAAGATAAAAATAAAAAACCAAACACTTGTTTTTTTTGAATTTTTCACATAAATTTTGAGGTTATGTGAAAAAAGTGTAAATACAAAAGTTTTAGATCTTTTTATTACCTACAACTTTGCCATTTGATTTTTTTCGAAAAGACTTTTAGTTTTGCCGGAAATCGAGAAAAACCGTTTTTTACCCTTAAAAGCTAACCCCCACCCCCTTCCCGACCTCAGATCGCCCGTAAATTATTTTTCCTTTTATTTTTATAATATTCCCCTCCTTTTCTAATGGGTTGCATCCTACTATTATTTTTTTTCACTTTTTATTATTTTTAAAGGCTTCTACCCTGGTCTATTTGTGTAATGTAATTTTATTTTATTATTAGGAGCAAAGAATGATAAGTTCCAGACAAGGCATAGTGGAGGAACAGACGCGTCTGTGGCAGAACGCACTGCAACTATTGCGTTGCAAGATAAAGACGCGCAACGAACTCGCCTCGAGACAAGAGCGTGTGCACATCACGCAGCACTCCCAGATGCTAACACTTACATAAATATGCTATTGTACACACCATCCTAGCGATATTTTGCAATATAGATATATGGAAGCACTTCATACTAACAATAGGATAAATATTAAATACTAAATAGCCAACCCTGTGACGTGGTTATTTGACTTTCTTAGTACCTACTTGCAAATAATTATTTTGTTTTTGATTAATTACTATAAAATGTTTTTAAAATGAGCTCAAATTATATTATTTTAATATTACTTATCTCTACCCATAAAATTCCTATAACTTATATTTATACTTCATAGAAACAAAAACCTCATGGGTGCTTATTGCTTAACCTTTTAGATACTCTTTCTTATGTATATATTTTATGTATGCCTATAAGAATAGAAATATACTTGTAGTTATAATTTTCCTTCTCGAGGCAATAATTCTATCAACAATAATATATAAATATGTATTATTTATTATCGCAATAAAAATTTCAAAGATCGTACTATATGTGGAGAGTTTTTTTTAAAAACTTATTTTAAGTTGTAGAGATGCGAGTTTCAATAATAGTTAATGTATGTAAGTTCAAAGTTAAAACTAACCATTGAATGGAGAACTAACTCTATTTCTTATCTATTTCCCATACATATGTACATATGTATAATATTTCATTTACATATGCATTATTATATAGGTATAATATCACATTTTTACCGTAGTATGTTTCACGTTTCACATTTAAAAACGAACTTTGTTTCGCGTTGCTGGTGACAATTTTAAGTTAATTTGCAATGTAGATGAGTTTCACGTCGACATGTGAGTCACGTGCCATTTCCGAGTGTGCTCTATTTAAATCAAACTAAATTAAATTTCTATTTTCACGCGATAAAATCTCTTATGAAAAACAGCTCACGGAAAATAATGAATTTTGTAATTTATACGTTTATTTAAATTATAAATATTATGAAGAAAGGCAGCTATAAAAATTATCCACATAAGTGTTGTTTTATTGAAGTTTAATTATCTTATTTTTATTAAAATCTATGTTTTAACGGTTAGTATGGAATAGGTAGACTATATATTATAGGTAGTTGTAGTATATACATAGGTACAAAATAAAGTTCTAAACTTTTCGATTTTCCAGCTATTTTATTGAGTTTTCTCTATTTTGTTATACTTAATGCTAATGACACACCCCCAAACACTGACACACCCCCCAACAAAACAAAAAAATACGTTTTTGAGTTTTAGTGAGACTAATGAACGGTAATTGATTTTTATATAAATAATAAATATATACATAGATATTTTAAATAAAACTATCTTTTCGGATTATTTCGCAGATTTATTTTGATTTTTGGTTCCCAACGTTTCGAATGCTTTACAGAAATCATGGTTAAGGGAGAGACTGATTTCAATATTTGCGTAAATCTAAGAAAGTATAAATACATAGATATAATTCATTCTTAAGAAATTACCCTAAAAGTCTTTATGTTATAAAAATAAATTGTATACATCTAATCTAATGCTTTAACTGTAGTCCGTGAGTAAATTTAAAAATATATAATTTTCATTTTTTATTCCACTACTGCTCAAACAAAAACTTACACTTTTGCCATCATTATTGTGTATTTGTGTAAATTGTAACTAAGCCAAATCTGTACATTAAATATTTTTTGGAAAATCTTATTGAAATAAACATTATTATCGATACAGAGGCCGAATCTATAGTTTTAGAATTTTTGTCAGTCTGTCTGTCTGTTACCGTATCACAGAAAAACCACTGGAGGGATTTTGATCTTTGTCAACATGTAGAATACTTTTTACCGCGGGAAAATGTCTCATTTCTGAGAAAAATACAAAAACTGCAATGTAAGAGTATACTAATATGTAAAACCTAAGAATTTGGTTTTTGGTCATCTGAACGCGGGCGGAGCCGCGGGCAATGCCAGTTCATTATAAGATAACAATGAATTAATACGGTGAACCTTTAGTGTCCATACCTGAAAAGCACTCAAACTCCTTGAGTACTTTCCGCACTTTAGATATCATTACTTTTTAAGCCACCTAGGTATCGTCATAAAGGTCCGTATCATTATTAAAATGGTATATTTTAGAATTAACCTTTATTTACGAGAAGCCTTTTGAAGTATATCTATTATGGACTTATTCTACTGAATATAAAGTCTTGATATTCGCTTTTTATTAATATTATGATAATGTGTTGCGTAGATTTAGAAAAATCGTTTGATCATTTTGAAATTACTTTTAAAATTTACTTTTTATGTTAGTAACAATTTTATAAAGGTTACTACTATATTGAATTACCTGCGTAAGACAATTAGTGTAAAACACAGAAGAATATAAAATATGAAAAGGAGTAATTAAATAGGAAACCCTAAAACTAATTTGGCGGAACATTCAATTAAAAATATTTTTTAGCTAGACGAAGTAAAAAAAAATTAAATTTCCCTAATCGGCTTCGACATCGGTTAATTTTCCAATACCTGCCTGTATTTTAACATTAATGTTTCTATTACAAATAATTTTACCGAATAACTGCACGGAACTGGTAAGTTAAGAGTATGTTTATAATTCAAATAAACAGTGTCTCCGTCCATGCAAATGCCAATTTTAGGAATTAGATGCTACCAATTTCTGCTTCTATATCTGCAAAATAAATATTACAATTCACAAACAGTTATAATTCATTCCAAAATACAGATAAGTTAGAAATAAAAAGAATATGTAGGTATAGTAGTAGTATAGTATAGGTATGATAGTTTGACGATAAAATATATTTGTAAAACTTGGTAAACATTTGGACGAATGAGCACTATTACTTCTAATAACCGTCGCCGTCATTAGCTAGAACATCTGCTACTCTAATTGCTTGACTTGTCAAACAATATTCCTAACCCGGGAGCAACAGTTTGCCGTGATTGGTGAGCAGCCTGTAAAATGTCATCAATCTCGCCTTCGGACAACTGGCGCTGTGATAAGCCTCACGTGACACCCTTAAGACTATTTTGATGATAAATGGAAACGATAACCGTTGATGTTGAAGTGTTCTGAGCAATCAAATATATTTGAATAATTTAAAAGATTTTTTAGTTATTGAAGCTGGTGGTCGAGTTTTTTAATGTTTTTGTCGTACGAGTTTTTTGGTAATAAAATATATTAATGCGAGAATAAACACATGCTATTAAGGATTGCTAGTTTTTTTATCTTTAGATAAGTGAATACTTGAAAAAATAGTTGTCGTGCAATAACAACATTTCCTATAATTTATCTTCAACTGTTTTACAGACATCCATTCTTAAAATTATTGTAGTCAATTTGACTTTGACTAAATATTAAGTTATTGTACAGTAAATATGTAACCGTTGACAGTGTTGCAATAAAATCTGATCGCATGATTAATTCATAAATATCTATTGCCACTAAACTATCTGACTAGTAGACAAGGGATACAAACATATAGGATGCCAGATCGGCTTCAAAAATAACTGACACCTCATAAATTCTAAAATATAAGAAATATAAGAAATAGGTATCTTGCGTTATTAATATTTGCGATATTTTTCAAAGTTGTCAATATATGACTATTTATTACGAGTTTATTTTACATCGAGTCATCAGTTGGACATTGTATTTAAGAGAAGTTTGAAAAAAAATACGAATAAGTGAAAAAGTGAAGAAAAGTTGAGTGAAGTAGTGAAAAATAGCACTCAGGGACTGAATTAAGCCAAATTTGTCAACCTCAAGGACGCATGAACTGTTAAAAGTGACTCTCGTATCTCGTCTCTTTAATTTTCGATCCCAGAGATCCTCGCTACAATGTTATTTATGTATTTTAGTATCAATAATCGTCCTTTGACATTGTTTGTTTATTTTTTTTAAATACTAGCTCTTTATTTCTATAAATGAAATACCATCACCAAATGTATATCTAAGTATATTATAATAAACGGGCAAACAGATTTCACTTTCGATATAGATTATTATAATATAGAGTATCAAATATTATAAATATACATAAATTATTTACCTATCTAATACGTGATTTATAACATGCACCCGTATTATAATTTTGGCGCTTGAAATTCGGGATATCGTTTGCTCATGAAAACTGTAGTAATATTGAGTTCTGCGTAGCGTTTTTCAATGTTCGAGTGCGATAAGTGTGCGATTTACATACATACGTTTTTTGAAGCAGAAATCCACTAGATGCGAATTGTTCGAGAGCTATTGTGTGGAAATCTAAATCCAGCAAGGGATGGACGTAAAAAAAAACCTTTGAGTCTATTAATTTAAAAATATATGGCGTAAGAGACATAAAAAACGAACAAATTGAGAATTTCCTTTTATTAAACCCAGTAAAGATTATATTACAATTTTAATTTTAAAAATGTTTTCATAAAATACCACCAATCGATATTACGTACCTAGTTATGTAACATTAAAATACTTTTCATATAGGGTTTTTATCTCTCTAGTTACCAGGTGTTAGTAAAATTTTCCTACAAATATTTTTTCATTGCATTTTACAAATTTTATTTTAAAATATCTATTACAATTCGACGTATAAAAATTATTTTTAAAAATAGTAGAAATACAAATAAATATAAAAATGAGTAAATATAACCATTATAACTTATTATTCGTCAAAATATTATAAAACAGCATAACAAATTATTACAAGTTTATTTACATTGGTATGTAAGTAAATGCTGATAAATAAAAATAGAAGAAATAAAAATATGTTATCTTTCTTTTGAAGAGAAGATAAGCAGCTAACAATTAAAGAATACAAAATTTATTATTATTTTTTTCTCAAAAATTGTAAGTTATAGAAATTTCCCTTATTCTATGAAGAAAGTTAACATGCTGTATGGCAACATTGAAATTGTAGCTTAAACAGCAAAATCACGCTACTATTTATGATTTTGAATTTTTTTTGGCAGATTCCATCAATTCTTTAGCCTGAGATTTTTATAGAGGTATAATTATTATAAATAAAACTATCTTTTGGGATTTTTTCG